CCTCACATAACCAACATTCTGTGAACATCTTAAAGACCAAATTACATTTTTCTTTGATACCAACGACAACACAGCGACTTCCCCAGCATTATTGTGGGAAACGCTGAAGGCGTATTTGAGAGGCTGTATCATCTCCTTTCAGACTGCCAGGAGTAGGCAAAACAGAAGAAAATTGGTAGAACTGGAGGGACAAATTCACTTACTGGATAGGGAGAATGCTAGACATCCATCTATGGAGAAACATGCAAAAATTATGTCTTTAAAATTTAAATACAATCAGATCCTCTCAGCTAAAATTGCTAAATCTTTTCTCTATGCCAAGCAAAAATATTTTGAGTTTGGTGACAAACCACACAAATTACTCGGCAGACAACATCGAAAAAATGTGAGTGACCGAATGATTCACAAAGTTAAATCTGCATCTGGGGAATTACTCTCCTCCCCCAAAGACATGAATGACAGATTCTGTTAGTTTTATGAGACTCTATATACATCTAAAGCGGATCCTAACCCCTTAATTATGCAAAACGTTTTGGAGGACTGTAATCTTCCGGCCCTGAACCAGGAAGACTCTAACTTCCTGAATAAAGAAATATCTCTTGAAGAAATTAGAGAAACAATTAAATCTCTAAAGAGTGGCAAGACCCCGGGCCCAGATGGATACCCTGGTGAATTCTATAAAACATTCAGCAACATGCTCTCTCCCTACCTGCACAAAATGTTGGTTCGGGCCAATGAGGATGGAGCTCTCCCATCTACTTTGGATGAGGCATTTATTACAGTTATACATAAGAAGGGTAAAGATCCGGAAGAGGTAGGGTCATACAGACCAATATCCCTCCTTAATACAGACCAAAAGATTTTAGCAAAAACTCTGGCTAACAGGCTTAGCACTTTAATTGGCAAATTGGTCCATTCGGACCAGACCAGCTTTATCCCTAACAGAAACTAATTATTCAATCTCAGGCGCCTCTTCAACATTATGTATTCTCAGAGGTTACCTAACGTGGACCTTGCCGTTATATCTCTTGACGACGAAAAGGCCTTTGACCAAGTTGAGTGGCCCTATCTATTCAAGGTCCTACAGAAATGTAATATTGGAGATGGGTTCATAAATTGGATCCAGCTTTTATATAGGAACCCCTGTGCGAGAATACTCACTAACCAATCACTGTCACCCCGATTTAACCTTTACAGAGGGACAAGGCAGGGTTGTGTGCTGTCGCCTATGCTCTTCGCCCTAATTATTGAACCTCTCGCTCAAGCGATCAGATTTCATTCAGCAATACACGACTATAATACTAAAGATACTCTAAATAATATTTCCCTATACGCAGATGATATTCTCCTCTATGTAACAGAACCCCAAGCTAGTATTCCAGCTATTCTTGAGGTGATTAATTTGTTTGGTACCTTCTCGGGATACAGAATAAATTGGAACAAGAGTGAATTAATGCCCATACGGTTGCAAAACACCTCCTGGCTAGAACATCTTCCAGTTAAGTTATCTTCAGAAAAATGTATCTACCTTGGAATTGTAGTTACCAAACAATACTCCTTACTATTTAAAGAGAATTTCCCCTCTCTGATGCAAAATCTCAAGGCAAACATACAATTTTGGAGAACTCTCCCAATTTCTCTGCTCGGAAGAATTAATGCCATTCAAATGGTCTTCCTCCCACAACTGCTCTACCTATACCAGAACATCCCAGTATTCATACCTAAATCCTTTCATAAACAACTGGACTCTATTATCAATCCTTTCATCTGGGATTATAAAACACACAGGATAGGTAAAAAACACCTATGTAAATCCAAGATGGAAGGAGGATTGTCTCTCCCAAATTTTATATTTTACTATTGGGCCGCTAACCTCCGCGCTGTTACGTTTTTGCTGGATGACGCACCCCCGCCATCCAGCTGGCTTAGCATGGAGCGGGAGGAGTGTCACCCCTTCTCTATTGGTGCTGTGATTTTGTCACCTGTCAATCTGGAGATGTCACTTTACCGTAACAATCCTATTATACATAGCACAGTCCGAATCTGGAAGCAAATTAAAGTCCACTTTGAGCTTAGACCAATATCATTCATGCTCCCTGTTGCCAGGAATCCCTCCTTTGCCCCCTCTAACCTTGATAACACCTTTGAGCGATGGGGAGAGTTGGGGATAAGTACCATAGGGGATTTATATATAGGAGGGACCTTTGCTTCCTTTGAGTCGCTGAGGGAAACTTATAACCTTCCCAGAAGTAACTTTTTCAGATACCTACAAATTAGAGACTATGTTAGAAAACACCTCCCAACATTTGGGAATGCTAAACCTTCCATGTTTGACGGATGCATAAAAATATTCCCCACCTCAGACAAACTGATATCTCGTCTATATGACGCTTTTCAATCTGTTAGCGCACCCTCTACTGATGCCATTAAGGCAAAATGGGAGGAAGAACTAGGGACTGACATTTCGGTATGCAGACTGGGAGTATAGCTTGGAGTATATCCACACCTGCTCCATTAACTCCAGACATCGTCTCATACAATTTAAGGTATTACACAGATTACACTATTCCAAAACTAAACTGCATAGGATATTTCCTGATACATCCCCTATGTGTGGTAAATGTCAGGCTGAGCAGGGTACACTACTCCACTGCTTTGCCCTATGCTCTAGCCTGTATGGTTATTGGTGTGGAATTTTGGGGTCCTTTCTGAAGTTCTGGAGACTTCTGATAATCCTGGTAGTGTCCAATTCCCTAAACGGATTAACCAACTCCCAAAAACAACTAATCTCTTACAGTCTCATTTCGGCAAAAAAATTAATCTTGTTGTTTTGGAAAAGGAGGGAAGCGCCCTCTACCAAATTATGGCTCAGCGAATTGGCAAATACTGTACACTTAGAAATAATTAGATATATTCTGAACAATAAATTATCAACATTTGATCAAATCTGGCAGCCTTTCCTCTCTTACTTGGACCAGTCGGCGCTGTGAATTTATACTTTTTAACGCACTCTCAATTGTCATATTGTAATCTACCTTTGGGCAGCGTGTGCTGGCCCCGCCACCCGAGCAGTCGGGAGGGGAATAGGGTGGAATAAAGGGGGGTATAAGTGGGGGGGTTACATCTACCCTTTTTCTTTCTACCTGTCCCTGTTCTGTATGTCTTGTTTTGTAATATTTGTTTTGTGCCCAGAACTCTGGGTCTTGTTGTTCATGTCTGTTCTCTTATGTTTAGATAAGAACTGTACACGTGTCTTTCATACCTATACACCATTCTTGTGTGTGTTCAATAAAAAATATTTGAACGAGGAGCCTGTAAAACGGCAGCCATCCCCTCCGGCGCCATTACTACATTACTACCAGTGTCCAGTGTCCAGAACGCCATTTTATGAACTTAAGCGTTACGAAACTTCTATTCAATCAAACAAACCTCACTTAGCAAATAAGCCATTTTTTATGTTGTTGACCAAATTTGACACTCATGGCTTACATAGTCATTGACCTCCATTCGAGTTGGGCCTCTCTTCTTCTTCTTCTTCTTAATGATTTGGTTGGCGGATTGCATCCAACTTTTACACATCGATCACACCGACAGTGTTTTTGTGTTTTGGTACACCAGAAGTACATTAATTTCCAACGGAATGCTGCGTGTGCCTTGCAGCATTGCGTTGCAAAGGCAGTTGCAGTGCATTCTGTGTGGTGCATATGTTGGATTTATTGAATGTATACGTAGATGGTTTGAAAGAAATGGTAACAGAAGGTGAATGTTGCACACATATCCAGATGATGCTGCGTTCCATTTTGCACATTTAACACTGTTGGTTTGATCGAGGCATAATAGTGTCATTTACAAAATAGCCTCCAACACTCTACTCAGCAAATTGGATGTAGTCTATCACAGTGCCATCCGTTTTGTCACCAAAGCCCCATATACTACCCACCACTGTGACCTGTACGCTCTTGTTGGCTGGCCCTCACTACATATTCGTTGCCAAACCCACTGGCTCCAGGTCATCTATAAATCACTGCTAGGCAAATCCCCGTCTTATCTTAACTCACGGGTCACCATAGCAACACCCACCTGTAGTCTGCGCTCCAGCAGGTATATCTCACTGGTCATCCCCAAAGCCAACACCTCCTTTGGCCGCCATTCCTTCCAGTTCTCTGCTGCCAATGACTGGAACGAACTGCAAAAATCTCTGCAGCTGGAGACTCTTATCTCCCTCACTAACTTTAAGCATCAGTTGTCAGAGCAGCTTACCGATCACTGCACCTGTACACAGCCATTCTGAAATTAGCCCACCCAACTACCTCATCTTCATATTGTTATTTATTTTGCAAATTTGCACCCCAGTATCTCTATTTGCACATCATCTTTTGCACATCTATCATTCCAGTGTTAATACGAAATTGTAACAATTTTGCGCTATGGCCTATTTATTGCCTTACCTCCATAACTTACTACATTCGCACACACTGTATATATATTTTCTGTTGTATTTTTGACTTTATGTTTTGTTTACCCCATATGTAACTCTGTGTGGTTGTTTTTATCGCACTGCTTTGCTTTATCTTGGCCAGGTCGCAGTTGTAAATGAGAACTTGTTCTCAACTGGCTTACCTGGTTAAATAAGGTTAAATAAAATAAAAACATTAACTATGGGCCTCTCTCTTACTCTTCCTCTCTAGTGCGCATGTGATGTTGGTCTGTATAAACCGGATGCAACCCGGATATAGACGGTCCATGAATCAGCGAATGCAAACCTGTTGTTATTCTAGTGATGCGAACATGAGTAGATTAATTTAAAAACAAAGGTAGGACGGTTTGGACGCAGTTTCCAGTTCTTATTATACCTCAATGAGTCCAACCAGTGTCCAGAACGCCATTTTATGAACACCCCCTTTTTCCAACGCCTATTCCCCCTACTGCGGTGCCGCTTAATTGACCAATCTGCGGCCACTATTCCTGACAGCTGACCAATCACAGCAGGCTTTACATGAACCAGACCAGTGGCTTTATATTCACGGGGCTGCCTGAGGAATGTAAACTATTTATCATGGAGACAGCAGTTGATAAACTGGAGGCGATGGTAAGCTAGTAAACCTACGTTCCTAGTCTTTAGATAAATTGTATTCTGTGGTCTCCAATTAGCTGTTTGAGCAAATGCGTCAAAAACGGCAATGTAGCGAGAATCTAATTTCAAGTGTTCTGCCATTCAAATCGGAATTGATTATTTTACAGGAAAAGCAAACCACGAACATAATACCGTGCTAAGTGTTTCTGCTAAGAACACTACATGGCAAAAAAAAAAATCGCTTTTCCATGGCGCTCTGTCCATTTTCTGTGTTTATTTAGTTAGCTTGTTTGCCACACGTTTCACAATGACAGCGAATACTAGACTGCGAAGAGGCCGTTTTCCGCGTCCTCGAGTGCGCGCAGTACATGACGGTTGATGTTTAAAAGCGAGTTTTCACGGTATCAAAGTTGGACAAATTGGTTGTTGACCTTAAATTGAATTGCAATTCCCAATCAAGGCGTGTAGCAAACGTAGCTAACTACAGTATGCAACTGTTAACATTAGCCAGATACTAACGTTACTACTAACGTTATTCAATTATGTTGCGTAAGTTCTCTATTATTCGGCTCCCCAAAGTCACTTAGCTGCACTTGTTTGTTTGTCAATGCTGACGATCACTGGATTGCTAAACAGTTTTTAATGTAGTTTTAGATTATTTAATTTGATTCACCAATTAATATTTAGTCATAACTTGATCTGGCCCAGCCAACCCAATTCAAGTTTCTGTCATGTAGCTAATTCTTTCTTTAGTTTGACAGGAGGTTGGATGTCTATTTTTTCTTCATGACTGACAACAGGATAAAGAGGAATCCATTATGTTTTCTGTCTGTCCAGTGCCCCTTTTGTATTGTACTACTGGTGACCCTTTAATGAAAGCAGTGCAATGGTAAAAGGGCATTGGCCAGGGATTATTCACAATGATAGGTTTTGCAAGGTGTAGCTGTGAACCATTGCTAGCAACAAAGCTGTTTGCAGGTGCTCTGACTTCATTGCACTACTGTATTGGACAGCTAGCAGTGCAATAGTATTGTCAAAGCGTCTGAAAACTGCAAAGACCACTTTTGGACACAGGAAGCAGCAACAAATGTACACCAAAGTGTTGGAAAGCTGGCACCCTCCTCAACAAGTGCATAATTCTGGGAACTCTTCTGGGGTTTACTGAAACAACGGTATGTGCTGTATAACAGTGCACCCCAAGGAAGGGCTGTGCAGGGTGGGTTGTTAATAAATATTTGTTATGTGTTTTTTAGTTTAAAATCTACAATGAAGATCCATGGTCTTAAAGAGATTCTCCGGTACTGTTATACTTTTTAGCCAGTAGTTCTGAAAGTAGCGCTCACAAGCAAAAAGTGGTCTCCGAAAATTGCGTACTACGTCACAGACACTACATGACGAAAAGTATGTGAACACCTGCTTGTCGAACATCTCATTCCAAAATCATGGGCATTAATATGGAGTTGGTTCCCCCCCTTTGCTGCTATAACAGCCTCTACTCTTCTGGGAAGGCTTTCCACTAGATGTTGGTACATTGGTGTGGGGACTTGCTTCCATTCAGCCACGAGCATTAGTGAGGTCGAGCACTGATGTTGGGCGATTAGGCCTGGCTCGCAGTCAGCGTTCCAATTCATCCCAAAGGTGTTCGATGAGGTTGAGGTCGGGGCTCTGTGCAGGCCAGTCAAGTTCTTCCACATCGCATCGACAAACGATTTCTGTATGGACCTCGCTTTGTGCACGGGGCATTGTCATGCTGAAACAGGAAAGGGCCTTCCCCAAACTGTTTCTGAATATGTTTTGTGCCTACTGACCTCAACCCTGATTTTTAATCATTCAATTTTGACACCGTGCCACGCATTGGATTGATCCCAAGTCCTGGAACCCTATCAGTATTGTCTCTGCTGTCCACTTTGTTCAGAGTAGTGCAATATTGCTTATTGGGTTTCAGTGTTTGGGTTAAAGCCTCATTGAAGGCACTATGCATCTGAAGACCATTTAATACACCTTTTGTGAGGCAACAATTTTGTGGCTGAAGTCTTGGAAAGATGTGACTGAACTTTTTTGCACATTTTGTTCATGTTCATAGTTGTGACAATCTGTTGTAAGGTGTAGAGACTCTACAACACTCTAAGGCTCGCAGTACACTAAACCAACTGTCCTTTCAGTTCCAGAAGGCAGAGGCTGACATGGAGTACATGGAGAAACGGCTGAGGCTGGAATTCCTGACAAGTGCTCCAGAGAACGGTGCAGCAGAGGTGAATATATGGACGCCACAGTACTTAGTTACAAAACATGTCCTCAGAACAGACCAGTCACCCAACACCTTTCCACTCCATCCAAAAAAGGCAATGCTGTCTTATACATATTTGAACTTCTGCCATGCAGACTGATGTCTCCATTTGTCTATTTACCCAACAGTCTGTCAAATCAATGACTGACTTGCGTTGTGCCTGTGACCACAGGAAAACCCTGTGAAGCTGCTGGAGAACCTGTCTGCCATCAAGGTGAGGCATGCGGCCTTGTGCGCACAAGTGCAGGAGATTGCAGCCGAGCAGAAGCAGTCAATGGACTCTATTCGAGCACACCTCGATACCACTGTGCAGCTGGTGCAACAGTTACAGCAGACTGCTGACGTAGAGGTAGACCATTCCCTCCACGTACATCTGACAATGTCAACCGGCCCTTTTCAAAGTTAAAGTAATGGTGGCAAAATCATGTGCAATTGAGAATTTGTACTTGTACTGTTTTGTAGATTCCACCACTGACTGAGACAGAGCAGGAGTCTGCAGAGTTCCTTGGTTTATCAGTCAATCAAAACACAGCAGAGGTAAGGCCATTTGCTCAAGCTAAGGTGTCATTGCGTACAGGAGCAGAGCGTGCAGAGAAACAATATTTGACAGACGTCATTCTGTGTAACACTATCTATGCCATTGTATGTGCACTGCTTTTTATGGTCCAATTTTAAGTATCTTGCCATTCAGAGAAATCTAAAGCTTGACTGCTCAGGATTTCGCAACTTCAGTGAAATGTTATGGTCGTCTTGTACACTGAACAAAAATATAAAACGCAACATGCAACAATTTCAAAGATTTTGCTGAGTTACAGTTCATATAAGGAAATCAGTCAATTGAAACAAATGAATTAGGCGCTAATCTATGGATTTCACGACTGGGAATACAGATACCTTAAAAAAAAAAAAATTGTGGCGTGGATCAAATAAACCAGTCAGTATCTGGTGTGACCACCATTTGCCTCCTTTGCAAAGAGTTGATCAGGCTGTTGATTGTGGCCTGTGGAATGTTGTCCCACTCCTCTTCAATGGCTGTGCGAAGTTGCTGGATATTGGCGAAAACTGGAACACTGTGTCGTACACGGTGATCCAGAGCATTCCAAACATGCTCAATGGATGACATGTCAGGTGAGTATGCAGGCCATGAAAGAACTGGGACATTTTCAGCTTCCGGGAATTGTGTACAGATCCTTGCGCTATGGGGCCGTGCATTATCATACTGAAACATGTGAGGGCATTGGATGAATGGCACGACAATGGGCCTCAGGATCTCATCACGGTATCTTTGTTTATTCAAATTGCCATCAATAAAATGCAATTGTGTTCGTTGTCAGTAGCTTATGCCATAACCCCACCGCCACCATGAGGCACTCTGTTCACAACATTGACATCAAACTGCTTGCCCACACAAAACTGCTTGCCCACACAATCTGCCCGGTACAGTTGAAACTGGGATTCATCCGTGAAGAGCACACTTCTCCAGCATACCAGTTGCCATCGAAGGTGAGCATTTGCCCACTGAAGTCGGTTACGACGCCGAACTGTAGTCAGGTCAAGATCCTGGTGAGGACGACGAGCACGCAGATTAGCTTCTCTGAGACGGTTTGTGCAGAAATTATTTGGTTGTGCAAACCCAGTTTTATCAGCTGTCCGGGTGGCTGGTCTCAGGTGAAGATCCCGCAGGTGAAGAAGCCAGATGGAGGTCCTGGGCTGCCGTGGTTACACGTGGTCTGCAGTTGTGTGGTTGGTTGGACGTACTGCCAAATTCTCTAAAACAACATTGGAGGCAATTTATGGTAGAGAAATGAACATTTAAATTATCTGGCAACAGCTCTGGTGGACATTCCTGCAGTCAGCATGCCAATTGCACGCTCCCTCAACTTGACATCTTTGGCATTGTGGTGTGACAACTGCACATTTTAGAGTGGCCTTTTATTGTCCCCAGCACAATCGATCCTGTTTTTAATCCGCTTCTTGATATGCCACACCTGTCAAGTGGATGGATTACCTTGGCAAAGGAGACATGCTCACCAACAGGGATGTAAACAAATTTGTGCACAAATTTGAGAGAAATAAGCCTTGTGTGTATGGAACATTCTGGGATCTTTTATTTCAGCTCATGAAACATGGGACCAACACTTTACATGTTGCGTTTTATATTTTTGTTCAGTGTAATATGCCTATATTGTAATAACTGTAATATGCCAATGTTTGTCTGTTCACAGGTACTGATGTCTATGGAGCCTTCAGCACAAGAGCAGCCTCAGTGTAAGTAATGGTTAACCCCAATTCTAAGACTCTTCTCTGCATATGTCTTTATACAGTAGACACAAACCCCTATTTGCATTCCTTTGTAACCAACAGGTTATGTACATAGCTAAACTGAAAAACACTAAGCACATTTTCAATTTGGGATATTTATAACGACGCTATAGCAGGCAACAATAGCTAGGTTTCCATCCAATTGGCGACAGATTTTCATGCGTATTTTCTAAAATATGCATAAAGAAAATATGCGCATTTTCCACCAGTTGTTTCCACCAAACAGATGTTGCAGATAAATCAGTGAGTGGTGACGTAGTGCACACAAAATGTACTTTTCGCTTAAGTTTTCATGTACCGAATAAAAATCTAAAGTTTAACATCGCATTCAACTCTACCTATAGTTTTGTCACAAACTGTTATGTTGAATAGCAAATGTGCCTACTCTGGTCTTGACACGTGCGCCCTAGCCAACAGCTCGCAGATGCAGTGTGGGTAGGCCACATAAGTGAGAATATTTTTATTTGTCAAACGGCAGTGAAGCATCGATCATCACGTCACTAGAATAAGACCCTTGATATTTATTGGAAAGGAACATCAAGATCACTGTGCACTTTCACCACCCTGTGAAGTTAATTTATTTCATCTGTAGCCTAATAAACTGCATGGTTTCCCGAGTCATAGTGGGAGGATCACACACCATATCACATGACGATATTATAGCAATATTTGACTTAAAGGCATTTCCACCACCACTTCTCGCATAATACATTTTACCGACACAAAGGTCGAACAAACATTCTTTGGGCATTTATGAAACTGCTCGTTTCCATCACAGCTGTCGTGATATTTTTTTAATACGGTATGACTTTACTCACATAACTGTGGCTGGAAACGTGGTTAATGACAACATTCCTATACAAGGAATCCAGGGGAAACCCAAATAAGGGCACAGGACTCTGTACAGACAGAATGGCGACTGAAGCCTGCTCTCTGTCCACAGCCTCGAAGGAGGGTGAGTTTGAGGAGCTGAGTGAAGCCACACTGGAGGCAGTGCCGCGCAGCGTGCGCTCCAACGTCAAGCTGGCCGACCTCAATGCCTTCTACAAGCAGCTGCATGAGCACTTCTCCCTAAAAAAAAACAGGTCCGACGAGTCCCGTTTGTCCCGAGACACATTACCCTTTACACAGAAAGCCCAAGTTGTGTCAAGGCAACACCAGCAGCAGGAATGTCGGTTAACTTGTGGACCAGTCAGACCCTGTGTCATATGAATGCTTAGTAAGGTGTACGCATTTTGTGGAAGTTCTTGCAAGCTCTAACTTTTCAAATCTTTCTCCAGTGGTGCCCTCAGTTTGCAGAAGATGAAGCAGATGAACATGAAAGTTAGCGACGCCAAGCTGAAGACGTTGCAGCATCTCTGTGTCATTGAGCTGGACAAGAAAGGGCACGTTTGCCTGCTAATATGAGTGAGGAACTGGCACTGTTTAAGATATTAGACCCAACAGCACGTAGTGAAAGTGACTGATTCTGCCCATCTCTCCTTGTCTAGTCATGTTAGCCTCATTGAAGGGTTCTCTGTTGAATCCTCATGCCTTCATATGCTGTGGATTGATTTATTTTGCTAGTTATTTTTTAAATGACACCACAATGGAACCAACTCACCACAATGTTTGAGGTGCTGTAAGTGGAAGGCGGCGGGCCGTATTGTAAATTAGAGCTACTATTTTTGTAATGACCACAGCTTAATATTTGATCATATTGAGGGTATTTTGACTGATGTGGCTAATGCATTTCACCTGTAAATATGTTATTAACGATTTGAATTCGCCTGATTACTTTCCAACTGTACATCTTGTCTAGCGCGTCAATGTATTTTGATCCTTCATTAAAATGACATATTTCCTCTGCCAAGGTATTCACTAAATCAGGAATTTATTTAACAAAGAGTGCAAACACATTAGCATCTTAAAGTACAGTGAAGTCGCTTTCCCCAACTATGTAAAACAATTACAAAATGAACAGGAACCTTAAATGAATCCATAAAAGCTTAAAATGCAGATGGAAACGGACCATTAAATTGACTTAAGTTTCTTTGTATTGGTCAAATCTGATCTATGGATGGTAAATTAAGAACTATTAATAACAGTAATGATGGTAACAATTTAACTAATGCTTTATGTAGAGCACTGAATATACACATGCCCTTGAACAGCTTAACAGTAATACAAAGAACTTCAGCGAGACACTTAAGAGACATGTATGACCTCAACTATCCAAAGGAGATTTTAAAATAACATTTAGAACAAGATAAAATGCATAAGTCATCCAAAGTCCAGCACCAAATAAAACATTGTCATGCCACAAGTGCTTAAGCGGCAGTTTTTAACCACCAAAATATCAATTTTCGAACAGGTGAGTAAATTGTACTGTAGAATGTAATCAACAAAATGGTAGAATAGGATGGTGGTGTAGAGAAATAAGACTGAAGTCAAATTACGTAGGTGTTACATGTGTTGTCCTACATGTTCTTTCTCAATCTCACTTGGTTGGGGTCACTTAGGCTTTTGATGGGAGTCTGCTCCAGGACAATAACCCTGCAGGCATAAAGAACCATATGAACACTAGTCTTTAAGCATGCAAGCTAATTATATATTTCTACAAATATAACAAGCACAAACGTAACATTTTTAAATGTATTACAATTTATACACACTATTACATATACCTGTGAGGCTGACTCCAGGTCCCATGACTAGCCATCTCTAGCTTCTCTGTCAAAACAAAGTTGGTTAGAATTTTACACCTCTAGTATTTGTCACTAATTGAGGAGAAAGGGAGGGTGCTTTTGTTCACCTGCGACAGGTGCTGGTTCTACCAAGTCATTGGTGTCGACCCCCTTCCGTTCTGCCACCTCGGCACGGTCCCCTCCTGGACAACCTGCATCCTCACTCACCTCGCCCTCGTCCTGGGATTCACACACACCCAGCCTGGCCACAGGTGAAGGCATAAACATACCACACAACACTTGAAGACACCAATTCACACTTTACAGTAACATGGGTCAGTTGTGGATGGACACATCAGGCACCTTCTCAGGGCTACTAGGTCATAGGTTCATAAGGCCATAGTATGAATGAAGCAGGTATATATTGGTAATGATCACACAGTCACTATTGTAAAAGTATGGGCCCAAGTTGCAACTTACCTAATTAGTAAACTATGTTAGACTGACTTCAACTGTGGATATTCCATTCGGTTGTAAGGTTATATGCTAATGGCTGGGCACTCACGGTTGTTTGGGGTGTGCAACCAGACCTGGACATCTCAGAACCCTGTGACCAGCGGCCCTCTCCACCAACATACCCTGCAGCACCTCATCCAGAGTGGAGTGAGCTCTGGAGTAGAGGGAGAGAGAGAGCCTGAGTATATGTCACATGTGAACTTTACCACTCTAGGGGTACTGCTCTTCTAGTATTATATCACCAGTCTGGTAATATAGCCAATGAATAAATACGGCAGAAATAGTGCCCAATACAGTGGTCTCAAACTCTGGTCCTGGATGTTCGGCGTGAATCAACTGTGTAAGTGTTGGGCTGGAACAAAAGCAGGCACAGTGGTGACCCCTGGCCAGGGCTACAGTGCATTTGGAAAGTATTCAGACCCCTTGACTTTTTCCACATTTTGTTACGTTACAGCCTTATTCTAAAATGGATTAAATAGTTTTTTCCCCCTCATCAATCTACACACAATACCCCATAATGACAAAGCAAAAACAGAAATATCACATTTAAATAGGTATTCAGACCCTTTACTCAGTACTTTGTTGAATCACCTTTGGCAGAGACCTCGAGTATGACACTACAAGCTTGGCACACCTGTATTTGGGGAGTTTCTTCCATTCTTCTCTGCAGATCCTCTCAAGCTCTGTCAGGTTGGATGGGGAGTGTCACTGCACAGCTATTTTCAGGTCTCTCCAGAGATATTAGATCGGGTTCAAGTCCGGGCTCTGGCTGGGCCACTCAAGGACATTCAGAGACTTGTCCCGAAGCCACTCCTGCGTTGTCTTGGCTGTGTGCTTAGGGTCATGTCCTGTTAGAAGGTGAACCTTCGCCCCAGTCTGAGGTCCTGAACGCTCTGGAGCAGGTTTTCAGCAAGGATCTGTCTGTACTAGTCTCCCAGTCCCTGCCGCTGAAAAACATCCCCACAGCATGATGCTGCCACCACCATGCTTCACTGTAGGGATGGTGCCAGGTTTCCTCCAGATGTGACACTTGGCATTCAGGCCAAAGAGTTCAATCTTGGTTTCATCAGACCAGAGAATCTTGTTTCTCATGGTCTGAGAGTCCTTTAGGTGGCAAACTCCAAGTGGGCTGTCATGTGCCTTTTACTGAGGAGTGGCTTCCGTCTGGCCACTCTACCATGAAGGCCTAATTGGTGGAGTGCTGCAGAGACGGTTGTCCTTCTGGAAGGTTCTCCCACCTCCACAGAGGAACTCTGGAGCTCTGTCAGAGTGACCATCGGGTTCTTGGTCACCTCCCTGACCAAGGACTCTCCCCCAATTGCTCAGTTTGGCCAGGCAGCCAGCTCTAGAAATGGTATTGGTGGTTCCAAACTTCTTCCATTTAAGAATGATGGTGGCCACTGTGTTCTTGGGGACCTTCAATGCTGCAGGCATTTTGGCTTGGTTTTTGCTCTGACATGCACTGTCAACTGTGGGACCTTATATACACAGGTGTGCCTTTCCAAATCATGTCCAATCAATTGAATTTACCACAGGTGGACTCCAATCAAGTTGTAGAAAAATCTCAAGGATGATCAATGGAAACAGGATGCACCTGAGCTCAATTTCGAGTCTCATAGCAAAGGGTCTGAAAACGTATTTACATAAGGTATGTTTTATATTTTTAATAAATTTGCACACATTTCTAAAAACCTGTTTTTGCATTGTCATTATGGGGTATTCTGTGTATATTGATGAGGATTTTTTAGAATAAGGCTGTAACGTAACAAAATGTGGAAAAAGTCAAGGGGTCTGAATACTTTCCGAATGCACTGTATGTTTAGTGAGGCCTACCTGTCAGTCTCCTCCAGTGAGTCTGGGCCCCCAGACAGGCCTTTGGACTGGCTCTGCTGTACAGGCGCTGCAGCTCCCTCTGTGTCTGGACCACAGCCTGAATGGTCATCTGAACACAGAGGTAAATTGCTTTTGGGTCTATTTCTTATTAGAAAGCTTTATTTGCTACTGTTAGTTTTTTTTTCTTCTTATAATGCTGATGTAATGCAGTGTACTACCTTCACTGTGTGTGCTGCCATGGTGGGTTCCTGATGTCTCTGCCTGCTCTGTACTGGCCACAGAATCCTCTTCGCCAATTAGCGATTGATCATTAATCACCTCTTCATCCTCATGGTCCGTCTCCTCTTCGTCAGGCAACTCTTCCTCATCTGACACAAGTTCATCTTCTGCAGAGACAGGTTTATAACTGAACACAAGTCTACCACCAAACATACATAGTACACTGGTCTGGGGTTGACATACTAATCTAATAGTAATATCATGTCAGTTAGTTGAAATGCAGTTACTGAAAATAACATTCAACTGATCAGCAACACCTTGCTTAATTGAATCAGGTGAGTTCCCACTGGGCACAGACGTCAGTTCTGATGTACATTTGGTTGAGTTGTCAACTAACGGGAATTCAACGTGAAATCAAAAAATGACATTGGATTTACTTAAGTAAAAAACAACAACAAAAACAATATAAAAAAGAATTCCCTTACGTTGATGACTTTTTTCAAATCCAATCAGTTTTCCACACTGATTCAATGTCATCACATACATTTTTTGTTGGGTTAACATGGATAGGGCTTCTATAAAAGCCTGCACCCCCTCTCCTCCAGAACCATGTTTGGAGACAACACCTCACCTCCCTCTAAAACAGAAGAGCTAGCATCCAGAGGTTCTTCATCCATCGGGTCGACATCCACACCATCACAGCCACCCTGATCGGACCCTTCCAACTCCCCTTCCTCCTCCTCCTCCATCTCTTCTTCCCTGTCAGCAGCCAGCGACATCCCTCTCTCCCCTTCTAGACACGCCATGTTCTTCTCCTCCTCCCTTTCTTGGCTGGTGGTGGGTACGGTGTAGGTAGAGCCCACCCCCTCCTGGCTGGGCCCTGTGGTCTGTCTCTCTCCGGAGCTGGCCGTGGTGAACTCTGGGATGCCCGTGGGCGTGTCAGTCTCCTCGAGGGAGGAGTCTCTCATCAGGGGTGACTGTGACACACTGGAGAGGTCTGTCTGCAGATAGAGCAGCCAAAATACATCTCAACATTTAAGGTAAGAAACTATTGGGTAAAACTGCACACCCTGTACATCTCCAGGACCAGGGTTGGTGGCCACTGGCATACTATATATTTGGACAGGTCGGAATAATTAATTGAACATGGTTCTGACTGGGAGAGTGATGACTATTCTGACCGTGCTGCTGGCTTCCAGGCTGGCAGTGGCGAAGCTCTCGGTGTGGGGAGGCAGGGAGCGGGTGCTGCCCCAGGTGGAGGTGTCCAGCAGGCTGGGCAGAGGGGGGATGGGCTCCCCAGTGACCCCCATGGCTCTGTAGTTGGGCGCAGTTGCTGCACCAAACCAAAACAAGTATACCAGTGACAGGTGACACCTTGCTGCAATTCAACTTGTAAACGTAGAGGTGTAAAAGTAGTGCTCCTGGTGTTAAACGCACCCTCATGGAACCAATGCTAGGTGTGTGAACTGACTGGTACTGTATGTTCTCCAACATTTCACACAGGGCCTACTCTTGAGCAGTGCTTAATTTTATGGTGCAACTGGAGGGTTTCTACAACTGAAGCTCCAGTAACGGCCCTGCTACACTACAGCCATCGGGCGTACGGCTTTGCCATCAGCCATTGAGGGAACGCTTCCTTTGAAATTAATTAAAGCTGCTATACTGCCAGTGTTGCGCTTGCGTTGCGTCACGTCCAATGGCAGCGTCAAAGCTCAAGAATCGCAGAGGTTCAATTCTCGATGGTTGAAGCGCGCGTTCATTCATCTTCTGAATTGAAATAAAGTCGATTTTGGTTGCATAGGGCCTCGACTATACACCACTGGTTATTGTACTAAGATTTATGAAGTCAAGAAGCTACTCGCTAGTGAAACTCTAGCTAGCTAGCTACATTGACTATGTTATCAATGTGTAAACAAAAGCAACTTGTAATTAGAGGAACATTTAGTACAACCACTAGCAACAATTTAATGAGTACTTGCGAAAAACTGGACCAAAGCTATTGTACTTAGGCATAATTGATGAATATGGTACAGTAGGGAAAAATAGATGCTCTTCCCCTCTCTGTGTAGCAGGTAGAACGCGCTCTGTGTAGCAGACACGACGCTGATGGCAAAGCAACTCGACGCGTATAGTGCAGCTGAAGTGTAACACTCTGGTAGCTGGGTGGCGTTGGTTGGTTGGTACCTGGGCTGCGTGGGGTGCTGTAGCAGGGCGGAGGCCGTCTGTTCAGGGGGCTGGGGTGCAGTCTCTCCTGGCCCAACCACTCCTGGTGCTGGGCGGGTGAGCACGTGATGCTGGAGACATCAGCCAGGTCAAGTAGACCACTATATATATATATATATATATATATATATATATATATATATATATATATATATATATATATATATATATATATATATATATATATATATATATATATATACACACACACACACACACACACACAAACATATATACACACAGTGCCTTCGGAAAGTATTCAGACCCCTTGACTTTTCCCACATTTTGTTAGGTTACAGGCTTATTCTAAAAATTTATTAAAATTGTTTTTTTTTCTCCTCAATCTACACACAATACCCCATAATGACAAAGCAAAAACTGGTTTAGAAATATCACATTTACATAAGTATTCAGACCCTTTACTCAGTACTTTGTTGAAGCACCTTTGGCAGTGATTACAGCCTCGAGTCTTCTTGGGTATGACGTTACAAGCTTGGCACACCTGTATTTGGGGAGTTTCTCCCATTCTTCTCTGCAGATCCTCTCAAGCTCTGTCAGATTGGATAGGGAGCGTTGCTGCACAGCTATTTTCAGGTCTCTCCAGAGATGTTCGATCAGGTTAGAGTCCAGGCTCAGGCTGGGCCACTCAAGGACATTCAGAGACTTGTCCCGAAGCAACTCCTGCGTTGTCTTGGCTGTGTGCTTAGGGTCGTTGTCCTGTTGGAAGGTGAACCTTCGCCCCAGTCTGAGGTCCTGAGCACTCTGAAGCAGGTTTTCATCAAGGATCTCTGTACTTTGCTCCGTTCATCTTTTCCTCGATCCTGACTAGTCTCCCAGTCCCTGCCGCTGAAAAACATCCCCACAGCATGATGCTGCCACCACCATGCTTCACCGTAGGGATGGTGCCAGGTTTCCTCCAGACGTGACGCTTGGCATTCAGGTCAAAGAGTTCAATCTTGGTTTCATCAGACCAGAGAATCTGGTTTCTCATGGTCTGAGAGTCTTTAGGTGCCTTTTGGCAAACTCCAAGCGGGCTGTCATGTGTCTTTTACTGAGGAGGGGCTTCTGTCTGGCTACTCTACCATAAAGGCCTGTTTGGTGGAGTGCTGCAGAGATGGTCGTCCTTCTGGAAGGTTCTCCCATCTCAAAAGAGGAAGTCTAGAGCTCTGTCAGAGTGACCATCGGGTTCTTGGTCACCTCCCTGACCAAGGCGCTTCTCCCCCGATTGCTCAGTTTGGCCGGGCGGCCAGCTCTAGGAAGAGTCTTGGTGGGTCCAAACTTCTTCCATTTAAGAATGATGGAGGCCACTGTGTTCTTGGGGACCTTCAATGCTGCAGAATTATTTTGGTACCCTTCCCCAGATCTGTGCCTCGACACAATCCTGTCTCGGAGCTCTACAGACAATTAATTCGACTTCATGGCTTGGTTTTTGCTCTGACATGCACGGTCAACTGTGGGATCTTATATAGACAGGTGTTTGCCTTTCCAAATCATGTCCAATCAATTGAATTTACCACAGCTGGACAATCAAGTTGTACAAACATCGATGATCAATGAAAACAGGATGCACCTGAGCTCAATTGCAAGTCTCATAGCAAAGGGTCTGAATACTTATGGAAATAAGGTATGCTTTTATTTTAAATAATTGCAAAGATTTCTTACAACCTGTTTTCACTTTGTCATTATGGGGTATTTTGTGTAGATTGCTGAGGATTTTTATTTATTTAATACATTTTAGAATAAGGCTGTAATGTAACAATGGAAAAAGTCAAGGGGTCTGAATACTTTCCGAAGGCACTACATACATACAGACTATCTGCAGAGTGTGTCTCAGAATAATTAGATCTGTGCCTGAAATACTCAGTGTTGCACACTGGGCATGATGTGGACATACTCCCAAAAGAAGAACTGTTGGTTCTTGACTACATCACACCTCAATCTACTCTTTACATTTGTCATTCAGCAGATGTTCTTCTCCAGAGCAACTTACAGTAGTGAGTACATAAAAAAAAAAAATCATACGTTTTCGTACTGGTCCCCCATGGGAATCGAACCTACAAGCGCCATGCTCTACCAACTGACCTACTCAGGACTACAGCCTCACCCTTTTCAGAGCTCCTAAACAACATTCCCATCAGGTTCTAACAGAGGGATTTACAAATCTTAAGCATTAATCTGCACTGAAACTTCTATTGACAACAAACATAATAAATACATTACATAATCATATTGTACAGTTGATTCTACCATGGAGCATCAGTGTGTTGGTGCTGCTCCTACCTGGCCAGTGGAGAGGGTGCATGCTGACTGACAGTGGGGTTTATATCAATCTCCTCTGACACCTCCTGTACAGGCTGACACTCTGGGGAAATGAACACTACATCAGTTTATTATCTGTCCTCATCTACTACTGCCTGAATGACCCAGCAGTGAATACGATGGCTTACAAACTGTAATACTGCTAAAAAATCTTGTTAATCGAGTGTCAAAACACACACACAGCCATCTTACTCCTGTGTTTGGTCTCCAGTGTCTGCTCCTCTGGTGCGGTCCTACTGGCAGCAGCCCTGCACACCTCCACTGTCACATCCAGGTCCTCCTCTGAGCTGACAGGGCTCTGACAGGAGTAAACCAACCAGTTAGAGGAAACCAACAACTACAGTAACTACATGAATAACTAACTAATTAGCTAAATAACTACTCCTACGTTATGTTATACCATATACAGTGCCTTCGTAAAGTATTCATACCCCTTGACTTATTACACGTTGTGTTACATCCTGAATTCAAAATAGATGAAGTAGATTCTCACCCATCTACACACAATACCCCATAATGACAAAGTGAAAATGTTTAGATTTTTTTGCAAATTTATTGAAAATGAAATACAGAAATCTAATTTACATTAGCATTCACACCCCTTTGCTAGGTCACTCCAAATTGAGCTCAGGTGCATCAAAATTCCATTGATCATCCTTGACGTCGTTACAACTTGGAGTCCACCTGTGGACAATTAAATAGTTTGGACATGATTTAGAAAGAAACACACCTGTCGATATAAGGTCCCACAGTTGACAGTGCATGCCAGAGCAGAAACTATTGGAAGAGATGGAGACCCGCACACTGTCGAAAAAAGGAATAAATCCAAAACAATTGTTTATTAAAACGTCATGGTGTCTAAAAAAATTATACTCTGTGCAAGAAAGTGCATAAATGAAAAAAGTGAAAACAAACGTTTCGGCCTCAGGCCATCAGTGTAAATCGTTGGCACACACACACCTGGCTTCTATTTCAAGGAAAATTGCATGTCACATGATCAAGCAAGAAAACGTCAGAAAATCTATGAAACAGTACCAAGTACAATAGAATGCATGATCTACACTGAACAAAAATATGAACGCAACATGTAAAGTGTTGGTCCCATGTTTCATGAGCTGAAATAAAAAAATCCCACAAAACTTCCATATGCACAAAAAGCAGATTTCGCACAAATTTGTTTACATCCCTGTTAATGAGCATTTCCCCTTAGGCAAGATTTTTTTATTTTTTATTTTTTTAACCTTTATTTAACCAGGTAAGCCAGTTGAGAACAAGTTCTCATTTACAACTGCGACCTGGCCAAGATAAAGCAAAGCAGTGCGATAAAAACAACAGAGTTACATATGGGGTAAAACAAAGTAAAAAAAAAACATTTATATATATATATATATATATATATATATATATATATATATATATATATATATATATATATATATACACAGTGTGTGCAAATGTAGCAAGTTATGGAGGTAAGGCAATAAATAGGCCATAGTGCAAAATAATTACAATTAGTATTAACACTGGAATGATAGATGTGCAAGAGATGATGTGCAAATAGAGATACTGGGGTGCAAATGAGCAAAATAAATAACAATATGGGGATGAGGTAGTTGGGTGGGCTAATTTCAGATGGGCTGTGTACAGGTGCAGTGATCGGTAAGGTGCTCTGACAACTGATGCTTAAAGTTAGTGAGTGAGATAAGTCTCCAGCTGCAGAGATTTTTGCAATTCGTTCCAGTCATTGGCAGCAGAGAACTGGAAGGAATGGTGGCCAAAGGAGGTATTGGCTTTGGGGATGACCAGTGAGATATACCTGCTGGAGCGCATACTACGGGTGGGTGTTGCTATGGTGACCAATGAGCTAAGATAAGGCGGGGATTTGCCTAGCAGTGATTTATAGATGGCCTGGAGCCAGGGGGTTTGGCGACAAATATGTAGTGAGGACCAGCCAACAAGAGCGTACAGGTCACATAGGTGGGTAGTATATGGGGCTTTGGTGACAAAACGGATGGCACTGTGATAGACTACATCCAATTTGCTGAGTAGAGTTTGAGGCCATTTTGTAAATGACATCGCCGAAGTCAAGGATCGGTAGGATAGTCAGTTTTACGAGGGCATGTTTGGCAGAATGAGTGAAGGAGGCTTTGTTGCCAAATAGGAAGCCGATTCTAGATTTAACTTTGGATTGGAGATGCTTAATGCGAGTCTGGAAGGAGAGTTTACGGTCTAACCAGACACCTAGGTATTTGTAGTTGTCCACATACTCTAGGTCAGACCCGTCGAGAGTAGTGATTCTAGTCGGGTGGGCGGGTGCCAGCAGCGTTCGATTGAAGAGCATGCATTTAGTTTTACTAGTGTTTAAGAGCAGTTGGAGGCTACTGAAGGAGTGTTGTATGGCATTGAAGCTCGTTTGGAGGTTTGTTAACACAGTGTGCAATGAAGGGCCAGATGTATACAAAATGGTGTCGTCTGCATAGAGGTGGATCTGAGAGTCACCAGCAGCAAGAGCGACATCATTGATATACACTGAGAAAAGAGTCGGCCCAAGAATTGAACCCTGTGGCACCCCCATTAAGACTGCCATAGGTCCAGACAACAGGCTCTCCGATTTGACACATTGAACTCTATCTGAGAAGTAGTTGGTGAACCAGGCGAGGCAGTCATTTGAAAAACCAAGGCTATTTAGTCTGCGGTGGTTGACAGAGTCGAAAGCCTTGGCCAGGTCGATGAAGACTGCTGCACAGTACTGTCTATTATCGATCGCGGTTATAATATCGTTTAGGACCTTGAGCGTGGCTGAGGTGCACCCATGACCAGCTCGGAAACCGGATTGCATAGCGGAGAAGGTACGGTGTGATTCGAAATGGTCGGTGATCTGTTTGTTAACTTGGCTTTCAAAAACGTTCGAAAAGGCAGGGCAGGATGGATATAGGTCTGTAACAGTTTGGATCTAGAGTGTCATCCCCTTTGAAGAGGGGGATGACCGCGGCAGCTTTCCAATCTCTGGGGATGTCAGACGTTACGAAAGAGAGGTTGAACAGGCTAGTAATAGAGGTTGCGACAATTTCAGCAGCTAGTTTTAGAAAGAAAGGGTCCAGATTGTCTAGCCCAGATAATTTGTAGGGGTCCAGATTTTGCAGCTCTTTCAGAACATCAGCTGTCTGAATTTGTGTGAAGGAGAAGCGGGGGGGAGGGGGGCATGGGCAAGTTGCAGCGGAGGGTGCAGAGCTGGTGGACGGGGTAGTGGTAGCCAGGTGGAAAGCATGGCCAGCCGTAGCAAAATGCTTGTTGAAATTCTCGATTATTGTAGATTTATCAGTGGTGATAGTGTTTCCTAGCCTCAGTGCAGTGGGCAGCTGGGAGGAGGTGCTCTTATTCTCCATGGACTTTACAGTGTCCCAAAACTTTTTGGAGTTAGTGCTACAGGATGCACATTTGTTTGAAAAAGCTAGCCTTTGCTTTCCTAACGGCTTGTGTATATTGGTTCCTAACTTCCCTGAAAAGTTGCATATCGCGGGGGCTATTCGATGCTAATGCAGTACACCACAGGATGTTTTTGTGCTGGTCAAGGGCAGTCAAGTCTGAGGAGAACCAGGGGCTATATCTGTTCTTAGTTCTGTATTTTTTGAATGTGGCATGTTTATTTAAGATTGAGAGGAAATTACTTTTAAAGAACAACCAGGCATCCTCTACTGACGGAATGAGATCGATATCCATCCAGGATACCTGGGCCAGGTCAATTAGGAAGGCCTGCTCGCTAAAGTGTTTTAGGGAGCGTTTGACAGTGATGAGGGGTGGTCGTTTGACCGCGGACCCGTTACGGACGCAGGCAATAAGGCAGTGATCGCTGAGATCCTGGTTGAAGACAGCGGAGGTGTATTTAGAGGGTAAGTTAGTCAGGATGATATCTATGAGGGTGCCCATGTTTACGGATTTAGGGTTGTACCTGGTAGGTTCCTTGATAATATGTGTGCGATTGAGGGCATCTAGTTTGGATTGTAGGATGGCTGGGGTGTTAAGCATATCCCAATTTAGGTCACCAAGCAGTACGAACTCTGAGGATAAATGGGGGACAATCAATTCACATATGGTGTCCATGGCACAGCTGGGGGCTGAGGGGGGTCTGTAGCAAGCGGCAACAGAGACTTATTTCTGGAAAGGTGGATTTTTAGAAGTAGAAGCTCAAACTGTTTGGGCAAGATAATCCATCCACCTGACAGGTGTGGCATATCAAGAAGCTGATTAAACAGCATGATCATTACACAGGTGCACCTTGTGCTGGGGACAATAAAAGGCCACTCTAAAATATGCAGTTTTGTCACACAACACAATGCCACATATGTCTCAAGTTGAGGGAGCATGCAATTGGCATGCTGACTGCAGGAATGTCCACCAGAGCAGTTGCCAGAGAATTGAATGTTCAACCGGCCTCACAACCGCAGACCACGTGTAACCACACCAGCCCAGGACCTCCACATCCGGCTTCTTCACCTGCAGGATCGTCTGAGGAGTGCTGAGGAGTATGTGTCTGTAATAAAGCCCTTTTGTGGTGAAGAAACAAATGCTGATTAGCTGGGCCTGGCTCCCCAGTGGGTGGGCCTATGCCGTCCAAGGCCCACCCATGGCTGCACCCATGCCTAGGCATGTGAAATCCATAGATTAGGGCCTAATGCATTTATTTCAATTGAATGATTTCCTTATATGTACTGTAACGCAGTAAAATTGTTATTTATATTTTTGTTCAGTATAGATTATATACAAAATGGACAGAGAAATATCAAATTATTGCTTTCACATATAGAGCAGAAACTATACCATGAAGTCCAAGAAACTGTCCGCAGATCTCCGAAATGGAATTGTGACGAGGCATATACACTACATGGCCAAAAGTATGTGGACACCTGCTTGTCGAACATCTCATTCCAAAATCATGGGCATTAATATGGAGTTGGTCCCCCCCTTGCTGCTATAACAGCCTCGACTCTTCTGGGAAGGCTTTCCACTAGATGTTGGAACATTGCTGTGGGGACTTGTTTCCATTCAGCTACAAGAGCATTAGTGAGGTCAGGCACTGATATTGGGCGATTAGGCCTGGCTCGAACCAACTAAGGGGGCTAGCCCGAAACATGAAAAACAGCCCAAGACCATTATTCCTCCTCCACCAAACTTTACAGTTGGCACTATTCATTCGGGCAGGTAGCGTTCTCCTGGCATTCGCCAAACCCAGATTCGTCTGTCGGACTGCTAGATGGTGAAACGTGATTCCTCACTCCAGAGAATGCGTTTCCACTGCTCCAGAGTACAATGGCGTCGAGCTTTACATCACTCCAGCCGATGCTTGGCATTGCGCATGGTGAGCTTAGGCTTGTGTGGCTGCTCGGCCATGGAAACCCATTTCATGAAGCTCCCGACAAACAGTTATTGTGCTGACGTTGCTTCCAGAGGCAGTTTGGAACTCGGTAGTGAGTGCTGCAACCAAGGACAGACAATTTTTACGCGCTACAGCACTCGGTGGTCCTGTTCTGTGAGCTTGTGTGGCCTAACACTTTGCGGCTGAGCCGTTGTTGCTCCTAGACGTTTCCACTTCACAATAACAGCAAAGCAGACATTTGACGAACTGACTTGTTGGAAAGGTGGCATCCTATGACGGTGCCACGTTGAAAGTCACTGAGCTCTTCAGTACGGGCCATTCTACTGCCAATGTTTGTCTATGGAGATTGTATGGCTGTGTGCTCGATTTTATACACATGTCAGTAACGGGTGTGGCTGAAATCGTCAAATCCACTAATTTGAAGGGGTGTCCACACACACACGTTTGGCCATGTAGTGTATCTGGGGAAGGGTATAAAACAATATCTAGAGCAGGGGTGTCAAACTCATTTTAGCTCAGGGGCCACATGGAGGAAAATCTATTCCCAAGTGGGCCGGACCGGTAAAATCATGGTATATATATATATATATATAAAACTTAAAAACAACAACTTCAGATTGTTTTCTTTGTTTTAATACTATCAACATAAAACATAAAGCTGGAGCCTGAGGACAGTGTGTCCAAAATAGTACAAGCACAACATCACTATTAATCATAAAACACCTCAAGTTTATTTGAAAATTCTAAAGAAAAAGAACAAACACACAATGCCTCAGTGATTCACAGAACTGTTTCACAGATCACAGAACTATATCAGGGTGTCATTTCTCAGGCAGAAATGTAGATACAAATAATGAAATCCTGTTCCCCAAACAAGTGCAAGAACCACAGAGTCAAGAATAGGTTAAATATACAAATAAAATAAAATCAATTAAAAACAATAGCACATCAACATAAAAACATAAACATAAAGCTGGAGCCTGAGGACAGTGTGTCCAAAAGCACAACATCACTATTAATCATAAAACACCTCAAGTTATTTGAAATTCTGAGGACAAACACACAAACACACAATGCCTCAGTGATTCACAGAAGTATATCACAGAACTATATCAGGGTGTCTCATGCAGCACTTTAAGTGGGGTTGCATAGTTTATTTGACTCCTGATACCTGGCATCTTTTAGCTTTCACCAGCGCATCAATATCAGGCGTCACATCCTGAGTGGCAGCCAACTTCAGGATGTGATTCAAGTGCTTGTGCGTGAGCCTTGAGCGCAGCTTTGTTTTATTTATGCTCATTACAGAGAACTTGCTCACAAAGATATGTGGTTCCAAACATGCACAACAGTTTTGCAGCGAGGGCTGTCAAGTTGGGGTAACCTGGCAAGAGATTCTGATAAAATGTGTCCAAGCCAGCTGCGGCAAATTTGCCCTTCAAATCCGAGTCACACTGCAAGTCTATTATTTCAAGTTGGATGCTGACGGGCAGATCAGAGCGATTCACGGTGAATGGCGAACAAAAAACTTTGAAGTCTTTCTCCAGTTCACCAAAAATCTGAAAGCGTTGCTCAAACTCCCGTAACAGTCCCGTTATTTTATCTTTGAACCGCTTCATGTCTGCCACATGTTGGGTCGCACACACATTTTTCAGACAGGGGAAGTGAGCTGCATCACCACCGGCGAGTTGCGTCTCCCACAATGACAGCTTCAACTTGAAAGAATGTATGCTGTCATAATACTGCGTGGCAACTTTGTTGCGCCCTTGCAGCTGTTTGTTCAAGTTATTCAGGTGCTCTGTAACATCCACCATAAATGCAAGGTCCTGCATCCATTCTGCGGAATTAAATTCTAACACTGGTTTGCCCTTTTCTTCCATGAACTGTTCAATTTCTTCTCGTAAATCAAATTAACGCCTCAGCACAGCACCTCGGCTTAACCATCTTACCTCAGTGTGGTATGGCAGGCCATAGATGTGGTCTTTCTCTCTGAGAAGGCTGTCAAACTGACGGTGATTCAGGCTTCTGGATCGGATGAAATTAACAGTTTGGATGACCACCTTTATGACGTTATCCATCTTTAATGACTTGCAACACAAAGCCTCCTGGTGCAAAATACAGTGAAAAGTCAAAAAATCACGTCCTCCATTTGCAGATTGCACTTTCTCTCTGAACTTTGTCACAACGCCTGCTTTTTTCCCGATAATTGAGGGCGCACCATCTGTAGCCAGGCTGACAGCGCGGGACCAGTCCACTCCGACCCGGTCCAGCGCGCCGACGAGTGCAGTGAAAATATCAGCTGCTGTCGTTGTATCTGTCATCGGCACCAACTCCACGAACTCCTCGGTGATGGTCAATGTGTCATCAACTCCGCGGATGAAAATGGCCAGTTGTGCAACATCTGTAATGTCCATGCTTTCATCAATTGCAACCGAAAACGCAATAAATGACTTTACTTTTTGCTTCAACTGGCTGTCCAAATCCACTGAAAGATCGGAAATCCTGTCTGCAACTGTGTTTCTTGTCAGGCTGATATTTGCAAAAGCCTGGTGCTTTTCAGGGCACACAATCTCTGCTGCCTTCATCATGCATGTTTTTACAAATTCACCCTCACTAAATGGTTTTGAAGCCACTGCGATTTCATTAGCAATGAGGTAGCTAGCTTTCACTGCAGCGTCACTGATGTCTCGGCTGTGAGTAAACACAGACTGCTGTTTCTTCAGACCCACCAACAGTTCATTCACCTTCTCTCTTCTCCGCTGTCCTTGAAAGTTGTCATATTTGTCGGCATGAAGACTCACATAGTGGCGACGAAGGTTATATTCTTTCAGCACTGCAACATGCTGTGAACACACCAAACATACAGCTTTCCCATTCAATTCCGTGAATAAATAGAAGGATGACAATTTTTCTTGGAACACTCTGCACTCTGCGTCCACTTTTCTCTTTTTTGACAGAGACATATTGGGGCAATGAGGGTGCCAAAGCACATAATGTTAAAAGTAGAAGCCGTAATAAATATCGCGGACAAAACAAAGTAGCTCATTCGGACTGGCTGCACTTGCTTGACCTATTTGCTCTGCCCCGGTATAAACAGTTTGCTTGCTTAACACAATTGCTATTGCGCCATCCAGTGGACACAATTGGAACAGCAGTTTCTTTTATTGAAAAATTGCAGCTCATTTTTATACTTTACAAAATCATCTCGCGGGCCGGATTAAACCCGTTTGCGGGCCTGATCCGGCCCGCGGGCCGGACGTTTGACACCCCTGATCTAGAGTGTTGAAAGTTTCCAAGAGCACAGTGGTCTCAATCATTGGGAAATTGAAAAAATACGGAACTACCCAGACTCTGCCTAGAGCTGGCTGTCCGACCAAACTGAGCAAACGGGCAAGAAGGACCTTGGTCAGGTAGGTGACCAAGAACCCAATGACAGAACTACAGAGTTCCTTGGCTGAGATGGGAGAACAACAGTCTCTATAGCACTTCCCCAATCTGGGTTTTATGGGAGAGTGGCCAGATGGAAGCCACTCCTGAGAAAAAAGGCACGACACCACACCTGGAGTTTGCAAAAAGGCACGTGAAAGAGAGATCATAAGGCAAAAGATTCTGTGGTCTGATGAGACAAATTGTACTCTTTTGGCCTGAAAAAGGCACAGCTCATCACCCATCTAACACCATCCCTACCGTGAACCATGGTGGTGGCAGCATCATGCTTTGGGAATGCTTTTCAGCAGCAGGGATAGGGTGACTGGTAAGGATAGAGGGAACAATGAATGGAGCCAAATACAAGCAAATCCTTTATGACAACCTGCTTCAGAGTGTAAACGACAGACTGGGGAAAAGATATACATTCCAACAGGTCAACGACCCCAAGCATTTAACCAAAGCAATGCTGGAATGGCTTCAGAACAAGAATGTGAAAGTCCTGTAGTGGCCCAGCCAAAGCCCAGACTTGAATCCCATTGAAAATCTGTGGAAAGACTTGAAGACTGCTGTTCACCGCCACTCCTCTAACTTAACAGAGGTTGAGAAAATCTGCAAGGAAGAATGGGAGAAAATCCCCAAATCCAGATGTGCAAAACTGATAGACATACCCAAGACGACTCAAAGCTGTAATCGCCGCCAAAGGTGCTTCTACAAAGTATTGACTCAGGGGTGTGACTACTTATGTAAATGAGATATTTCTGTAATTCATTTTCAATACATTAGCAAAAATTTATAAAACAGGTTTTCACTTTGTCATTATGGGGTAATCCATTTAGAATTCAGGCTGTAACAACATAATGTTGAATAAGTCAAGGGGTATGAATACTTTGAAGGCACTGTAACTATTACGTTAACTAAGAACTACTAGACCTGGCTGTCTCTGGATGGGTTGTTCCTCTGCTCTGGGTTGGGGGTGTAGAACATGCTTGAAGGTTCCACAGGAGACTGGGTGTAGTCCGACTCAGAGGTCCCCTCCTCCTGGACACACAAGGTCAAGGGTTTATAACACTGAGCATGTAACATTTTAACTAATAGAATCTGATGATTATGTTCTCTATGGGGTCCAGAGTTGAGGTTTTGCTTCTCTCATCTAACCTCTCTTTGTCCAGCACCCTCCCACACTCCACCCGTCATATTGAACGTGCGGTTCACTGTGTGGAAATCTGCATCCTCTTCACTCTCACTCTGGACACCTGCATAGAAAGATGAGATACGGAGACAGAGGATAGATAATTTATGATCCTATCCTACTATGCTTCTATGAGCATAAGGACTGTATAGCATGCTTCTCAGCTGCAGTGGCATCACCTGCAAAGCTTTTGAAGATCTGCTCCAGCTCTGAGCTGCTTTCGAGGGCCTCAGCTGCAGCTTTCTGGGGCTGTGAGGCAGGGGCGGGGGCTGGAGAGGACCTGTAGCCGTTGTCACTGCGCCCCAGAGGGTCCTGTCTGGGTCTGGGGGGTCCCACCGCTGGCCCAAGCCCCTGTCTGTCCTCCATCTCCTCACTGTCACTGCTGGCAGGGGGGCCCACAGCCACCCCCAGACGCCCCCGGGTCATCCTGGCCACCAACTCTGACACCTCACCTATGAGAGGACGAGGAATTTTGAAGGAAGTTGGGGTCAGAACTGTAATAAGATGTAAAGACTGTTCTGTGAACTGTAACTTTGGTATAATGCATGTACACTGAACAAAAATATAAACACAACATGCAACAATTTCAAAGATTTTACTGAGTTACAGTTCATATAAGGAAATCAGTCAATTGAAAAATGAATTAGGCCCTAATCTATGGATTTCACATGACTGGGAATATAGATATGCATCTGTTGGTCACAGATACCTTTTAAAGGTAGGGATGTGGATCAGAAAACCATATAGTATCTGGGGTGACCACCATTTGCCTCATGCAGCGCGACACATCTCCTTCGCATAGAGTTGATCAGGCTGTTGATCGTGGCCTGTGGAATGTTGTCCCACTCCTCTTCAATGGCTGTGTGAAGTTGCTGGATATTGGCGGTATCTGGAACACGCGGTCGTACACGTCTATCCAGATCATCCCAAACATGCTGGTGGGTGGTGACATGTCTAGTGAGTATGCAGGCCATGGAACAACTGGGACATTTTCAGTTTCCAGGAATTGTGTACAGACCCTTGCTACATGGGGCTGTGCATTATCATGCTGAAACATGAGGTGATGGCGGCTGATGAATGGCACGACAATGGGCTTCAGGATCCCGTCACGGTATCTCTGTGGATACAAATAGCCATCGATAAAATGCAATTGTGTTCGTTGTCCGTAGCTTATGCCTGCCCATACCATAACCCCACCATGGGGCACTCCGTTCACAACGCTGACATCAGCAAACCGCTCGCCCACATGACACCATACACGCCGTCTACTCGGTTACGTTGAAACCGGGATTCATCCGTGAAGCGCACACTTCTCCAGCGTGCCAGTGGCCATCGAAGGTGAGCATTTTCCCACTGAAGTCAGTTACGACGCCGAACTGCAGTCAGGTCAAGACCCTGGTGAGGACGACGAGCACACAGATTAGCTTCTCTGAGTCGGTTTCTGACAGTTTGTGCAGAAATTATTTGGTTGTGCAAACCCAGTTTTATCAGCTGTCCGGGTGGCTGGTCTCAGGTGAAGATCCTGCAGGTGAAGAAGCCAGATGGAGGTCCTGGGCTGCAGTGGTTACACGTGGTCTGCGGTTGTGTGGTCGGTTGGACATGCTGCCAAATTCTCTAAAACAACATTGGAGGCAGTTTATGGTAGAGAAATGAACATTTAAATTATCTGGCAACAGCTCTGGTGGACATTCCTGCAGTCATTATGCCAACTGCACGCTCCCTCAACTTGAGACATCTGTGGCATTGTGTTGTGTGACAAAACTGCACATTTTAGAGTGGCCTTTTATTGTCCCCAGCACAAAGTGCACCTGTGTAATGATCATGCTGTTTAATCAGCTTCTTGATATGTCACACCTGTCAGGTGGATGGATTATCTTGGCAAAGAATAAATGCTCGCTATTTTGTGCGTATGGACAATTTCTGGGATCTTATTTCAGCTCATGAAACCAACACATTACATGTTGCTGTTATATTTTTGTTCAGTGTATAATATAGTGAAATCTCACTGGTCCATTTGGCCTTGGCTGGGAGCTCAGGCTTTCTGGGCTGTGGAGGAGGACTATCCTCAAGAGAATCTGTCCCCTCAGAGGACAGACAGATCCTGGGATGAGGCAGAGGGAGCAGGGTGTCAAACACGCAAACAACAAAACGTAAAGTGGTGTCACTGAGTCCTAGTAATTTTTTAAAAATATCCCAAATTTTGGGTTAGATTTGCACAATTGTCCCTACCATATAGTTTGACTAAATAAGGCCACTGCAAGTTTTATATCCCACACTTGTACTTTCTACCGTATGGCGTTAAGAGTGGAGTGCAGTGCTGCTTTTGCCAGTGTTCTGTACCTGTCAGTGAGTTCATGTCTGTCCACTGACTGCTGCTTTGTCTCTGCCTGCTGACCTCCTCTCTCGGTCTCTCTGGAGCCTCTATCTCTACCTGCCTACCAGACAGACAGCAGTCACTCACTCTGACAGTCACAACACAACCTGGGAAGAGCTATAGTTGTGACGAACTGTACTATGGGAATATATTCTTCATCCAATCATGCTGCTTTTGCGAGACTCAGAGTTGCAGTTTTGTGTGTGTAACACCAGAGGGTGCAATTCGTGGTGGTGTGCTACCTGCTGCTGCCTTTTGGGGCGCATGTTGACGAAGCTGTTCTCCTGAGCCGAGCTATAGTGGCTCATCTCCTCGCCCTCGCTGCCGGTTCCCTCCGAAGTAGTGCACTCCAAAGTAGGGTACTCCTCCGAAGGGCACTCCAGAGTAGTGCACTCCAGATTAGGGTATTCCTCAGCAGGATACTCCCTCTGCCACGCGGCCAGCTCCTCAGCACTGAGCGGCCTGGACTCCCCTCTCTTCAGTAGCTGGGCCTCCAGTCTCTTGGCTGAGGGGTGGACACCATGTGGTAGGAGGCGGTACTGTGAGGGAGGCCCCACTGCACGGGACATGTAACTACACGCCGACCCAGAGAGAGTGGAGGAGAGGGAGATGGAGGCTGAGGAGGTGACGTGGGGGGTCTGAGCATCTTTTCCCTCCGCCCCTCCGTCCACCTCATCGACCGGCTCCCGTCGACAACGGCCTGTTTCCACGTCGGCCAGGTTGCACTCGGACTGCTGCAACAGTACCTGGGAGACTTTGAGGTTGAGGACGATGGAGCTGATGTGCTCTGAGAGCTTTTTGGACACTGGGCGCTCTGGCTGAACAGCTCTCTCCTTCATAATTGTCCTCTCCTCCTCTTCATCTTCCTCCTCCGTTACAGTGCTGGAGTCAGACTCTTCTTCCTGGCTGCTGTAGGGTTCCGATGGCACAACAGAGCACAGGCGCCAGTCATCCAGGGGCAGGATGTCCCTAAAAGAGATGTCACGGTGGAATAGGGGCTGTTCAGAGTCTGTTGTCATCCCCCCTTCTCCCCCTGTCTCGGTCTCTCTGTCCAGCAGTTTGTCCAGTTGGCTGAGCTGGTCCTTGATCTCCCTGTCCACTGTGGTGTCCATGGAACTGCCTAAAGAACCTTCCTGTGCGTCAGCGTAGGTGGTAGGCCTGAGGCCTGAGAGAGAAAGAAGGGAAAATACATGGATAAAACCTTATTTTATTTTTTTTTAATGTATGTGTATTGTTCAGGGTGTTTTGTGTGTGCTGTGTTCACCACCAGCATCTGCAGGCTCCTTGACTGGGGCGGACTCTGGACTCCAGCCTGCAGGCCTGAGTCCTCCTCCTATGTTTGTGTACAGCCCACTCCTCCTCCCCCCTATTTTGGACAGCTCCTACCACACACACAGTACCAGGATCACCACAGAGAGGTCATAATAACAAATCCAGAAACAGTCATGTGAGGCTGATGCCACCTTTACAACACCAACCATTGCTTATGTTGGCTGAGTGGCTAGGCTGCAGTCTGTACCTTGATGTCTTGGCGCAGTGTGTAGCGTAAGTCCTGCAGGCTGTGTGTGCGGTCCTGGGGGCGGGGCTGCAGGCCCACCCTAACCAGGGCGTAGTAAGGCTGGGGCACACTGGAATCTGTAGCCAGGGCCTGGCCTGACTCTACAGTCTGCCTGATCCAACGAGGGTCCACCGGGCCCCACGGCACTGAGTCTACGGTAGAATACACACACCCCAAGGTCACACATATGCAAATATGCACACACTGCTGCAGTGGACAACATACATTGGAGTAGCTACCTGTATAGAGCTCCTGGATGAGGGCACACAGGCTGTAGAGGTCAGCCTTCCCCGTGCAGGGTCTCCGTCTGATCACCTCAGGGGCGGCCCAGTTGTACAGGCCTGGGGGCAGGGGCAGGTGGGCCGAGGGTCTGGGGTGACTATTGTCACTGGGAGAAGAACAGGACACACAGACCAATATTTATTACTTACCATCCATAAGGAATAATGTTCAGTATGTCATTGCAGGCACATGGACTACAACTGAAAAGTTGTACAGGAAAAACAAAGAGCTAGTAGTGCAAGTTTTGGGCAGCATGTGTGTTGTTTTCTCCTTTTCTTCCTACCTGGGCACCATGAAGCCGAGGCCAGAGAGTTTAGCCACGCCAGGGTGTGTGAGCAGGACGCTGTGAGAGGAGAGCGCTCGCAGCACCAGGGCCCGACCGTGCAGGTAGAGCAGAGCCTCACACACCTGCAGCACCACCAACAGCATGGTCTCAGCACGCAGCACTGGAAACTCAGCACGCTGGTGAGGAGAACAAATACACATTCATTCAATTTAACAAATATGTAAGTACAAAACACAGATAAATGTTGAAAGTGTGTATGTGTGGTGGGGATTACCCTCTGGTGCATCAAGTTGTGCAGAGAGCCCACCTGGACCCTCTCATACACCAGGCGGACCCTCAGCAGGTCACTGGACATGCTCACTGCCATCAACTGCAGCAGGTAGGGATGGAACAGCTGACTACAGACAGACAGTCACACAGCAGTTACTGGGTTATGCCCTATATCCCTAGACAGCATCAATAGCATTGAAATGACAGGTGTACTTTAGGCTAAATACTTATTTGGAGGAACACTTGAGAAAACAACGCAGCAGTCAAATCAACTACCATTTTTAAGGGGTTTAAACAGTTCAAACAGACTGTCGTCATCTTCTCACCTGCAGTACTCCAGCTCAATGAGCATCAGGTCCAGGTAGGCCTCTTGGCTGCCCCCTTGTGGAGAGGAGAGGGACTGCAGCTCCTTCACAGTGACCCTGCAGCCCTTCCAGCTGTAACTGACAGATGGAACAACCAGTTTAGTGAAAAAAATATGTCTGTAGCTTCTTATTTGATGCAATCCCATAAGAGTTATATAAGACGTGGTTCCAGGCCCCAGTAGTCTTACTTGGTCATGGTAATGAAGGAGCCACATGTGAAGGAGAGAAGGGGTTCGTCGTCCGCCTGCCCTAACTCACTGTCCCCAATCACAGGCAGGGAGGCCAGAAGGCCCAATGCATGTCCCGGCTTATCTATACACAACTGAGCCCAGCAAGAAAACACTCACTCACTCTCATCCAGACACAAAATACTGCCATTCCAAAATGTACCACACTATATGCAATTTAGCAGACGCTTTTATCGAAATAAACTCAGACATTATCATATATATATATATATATACACATACACACACACACACAGTGGGGAGAACAAGTATTTGATACACTGCCGATTTTGCAGGTTTTCCTACTTACAAAGCATGTAGAAGTCTGTAATTTTTATCATAATAATAATAATAATAATAATAATAATAATAAGCCATTTAGCAGACGCTTTTATCCAAAGCGACTTACAGTCATGCGTGCATACATTTTTTTTTGTGTATGGGTGGTCCCAGGTACACTTCAACTGTGAGAGACGGAATCTAAAACAAAAATCCAGAAAATCACATTGTATGATTTTTAAGTAATTCATTTGCATTTTATTGCATGACATAAGTATTTGATACATCAGAAAAGCTAAACTTAATATTTGGTACAGAAACTGGTGTTTGCAATTACAGAGATCATACGTTTCCTGTAGGTCTTGACCAGGTTTGCACACACTGCAGCAGGGATTTTGGCCCACTCCTCCATAGACCTTCTCCAGATCCTTCAGGTTTCGGGGCTGTCACTGGGCAATACGGACTTTCAGCTCCCTCCAAATATGTTTTATTGGGTTCAGGTCTGGAGACTGGCTAGGCCACTCCAGGACCTTGAGATGCTTCTTACGGAGCCACTCCTTAGGTGCCCTGGCTGTGTGTTTTCAGGTCGTTGTCATGCTGGAAGACCCAGCCACGACCCATCTTCAATGCTCTTACTGAGGGAAGGAGGTTGTTGGCCAAGATCTCGCGATACATGGCCCCATCCATCCTCCCCTCAATACGGTGCAGTCATCCTGTCGCCTTTGCAGAAAAGCATCCCCAAAGAATGATGTTTCCACCTCCATGCTTCACGGTTGGGATGGTGTTCTTGGGGTTGTACTCATCCTTCTTCTTCCTCCAAACACGGCGAGTGGAGTTTAGACCAAAAAGCTCAATTTTTGTCTCATCAGACCACATGCGCCAACAGTTGTTGCCTTCTCACCAAGCTGCTTGCCTATTGTCCTGTAGCCCATCCCAGCCTTGTGCAGGTCTACAATTGTATCCCTGATGTCCTTACACAGCTCTCTGGTCTTGGCCATTGTGGAGAGGTTGGAGTCTGTTTGATTGAGTGTGTGGACAGGTGTCTTTTATACAGGTAACGAGTTCAAACAGGTGCAGTTAATACAGGTAATGAGTGGAGAACAGGAGGGCTTCTTAAAGAAAAACTAACAGGTCTGTAAGAGCCAGAATTCTTACTGGTTGGTAGGTGATCAAATACTTATGTCATGCAATAAAATGCAAATTAATTACTTAAAAATCATACAATGTGATTTTCTGGATTTTTGTTTTAGATTCCGTCTTTCACAGTTGAAGTGTAACTATGATAAAATTAGACCTCTACATGCTTTGTAAGTAGGAAAACCTGCAAAATCGGCAGTGTATCAAATACTTGTTCTCCCCACTATATATATATATATATATATATATATATATATATATATATGATAATGTCTAACAGTATGATGATATAGGGACAAATCCTAATATGACGTGGGCACACACTTATTTGGGCTTTCATCGACGTCACTGTTTTAGGCAAATACCTTTCCAAAGCCAAAACATTGAACTGTGTCACAGGCAGAGGACTTGGTAATCTTCCTGTTGAGGTGCAGGTCAGAGCCACTGCAACATGGGAGAAATGGGGAAAGGTTAACATACAGATTTTAAGAAAACAAACCCTAAAAAATGGGAAGTATTAATGTAGGATCCCCCCCGGCTGCTCACCCGGACTTGAGGAGCTCCAGTAGAGAGGGGGAGCGCAGCAGGGTCTTGGAAGAGGTGGAGGAGGGTGTCCGGCGCACCTCCCTGGGCTGGGGGGACTGAGAAAGGCTGTGCATGTGGGTCACACAGCTCTTCAGGAACTCAAGCATCTGGATGACAGAGAGAGCGCGAGAGATTTGTAGTGTATACAGTTTGTACCTGATCATTTCTCCATGATAAAAATGTACCCTGATGCTGTGAGCACTAACCCTGGCGCTGTGCTCCTGAGCCCCAACCTCGGCCCAGTCTCGGGGGCTCCTGCCTTTGTGGTCGTGGAGCCTTAGGTCCCCCCCTGCGTCTAGCAGGCCGCTCAGCAGCCAGGGGTTACAGGAGAACACGGCAGCGTGGACGGGGGTGCTCCTGTCCTCACAGCGACTACACAGGAAAATAGGTCACTCACAGTATGGTGTCACGCAAAACATGCTGTACTAAAAGGCTTACACATCTTTTAAGTATCTATTTTGTGTCAAAAAAGAGCATGTGCAGTGTGTGAATGACTTGTCAGTCTTACTAGTTGGGGTCAGCTCCAAATTGCAGAAGCAGCTCAGTGACACTTCCCAGGCCCAGGAGAGATGCACAGAACAGAGGTGTCTGGCCCAAGTGATTGACACAGTCCACATCCACACCTAGAGCACAGCATCAGAACTGCTTTCAATTGATGAACTTCATTAGGTAGCCATTTAGTCATAACTGTCAAGCTCACTGGGTAGGTGCTAGTAGATTGGGATCATATGAAACAGAATCTGGCTTTACAGGAGACGTTGATATGGCTTATGTCCTTTAAGCCCATGAAGCAGCCATTGAACTTGCCATTCACCAGCTTTTTAAGCTTAATAATGTCAAAATACATTCGTTACTCACAAATGATGAAGTTACGAGTATCAACTATCATAATTTACTGCCATCACGGCCAGTATGTACTTCCAAAAAAGGTCCAAAAAAAAAAGTACAATCCACTGAAATAATGGCTATTGTGCACCTCCAATATAAATCGCTCACATCATGGATCCCGGATAGCACTAACCTTATTGCAATGCACAGGTCGGAAATCTACAACAGATCAATACATTGAACGTGCCGAAGATTATTTATTTTCAGTTACATGTACATTTTTATTTAGACCTTTTTTGGAAGTAAATGCCGGCAGGGAAGGCAGTAATTGACAATAGTTGCTAATCGCAACTCCACATTTTGTGAGTAACAAACGTATTTTGACATGAATCTTGAAAAGCTGGTGAATGGCAAATTGAAGGCCGATTTTCTACATATCAACGTCTCCTGTAAAGCCAGATTCTGGTTCAGGGATCATTAATATACGGTCTATGATAGGGATGAAAAATGCTTACTCATGCAACATTACTGTTGTGTTAAAGTTTTGTTTTACCGTTCTTGAGCAGCTTCTCCATCTTGTGCAGATTCTTCTCCATGGTGTACCTATGCAACTGAGCAGGTAGGCCTCCATTCTTCACGATGCCTAATCGCACTGGGCAGGGAACAGGCAAAGCAGCCATCCTGCTCCATTCACTGTCACGGAGCGCCAACTACCACCCGGGTTCGCTCCAGTGCAGTAAAAACTGCCGCATGTCAGTTAGTTGGCTAGCAAGCTAGCTAACACATTAGCTGTCTAGCTAGCTAATTAACGACCAATGACAACCAGCTAGCTAGCTATGGGTTCATCGATATAGTAGTTGAAATGGTTGTTTAGTTTAAGTCGGTTTAAGGTGTTTAGTATGAAATTAATATAAACTTAATTAGCGAAAAGTATTTGTTTACCGAATTCGAAGTAGCTAACGTTAGTTAGCTAATCGTCAGAATAGGCGCAAGCATCGAATCTCACAGTAAATTAGGCATCACGAGCTGACCAACTAACATAATTTAGGGAACTAAAATATTGTTACCGTTACCGAGCTGGTGTGCTAAAGTCGAAATGGCATTATAGAAAAATAGATCAAAAGCACATTTGACACTTACCTGTTAGCTTAGCTACCACAAGAGGACCCCCACTTACATACGGTGGTATTTAGCGCCAAGAAGACGGGTTAATCCAGGGTTTCCCAAACTCGGTGCACGTTTTGGTTTTTGCTCTATTACTACACAGATGATTGAAATAATGAACTAATCATCAAACTTTGATAATTTGAATCAGCTGTGTAGTAGTGTTAGGGCAAAAACCAAAAGGTGCATCCCTTGGGTTCCCGACTACAGAGTTTGGGAAACACTGGGTTAATCCAAACAACCCGATTTGTGGAAAGTATTTTACAGGTATGTCAAGGATTGCCATTTTCATGATTGCTTTGCAGCATTAAAGTTGTCAATTAATGTTTTTTGAAATGTAGGCATCAATTACAATAATTTGTAAAAAATGTTGGTAAAATGTTTCCACCTTTTTAATGGGGTGATGGTTGTTTAATCGGGTGCACGGTGCATATTCTTAAATCTCCTTCTATGGTATATTGTCGATCGCACAATTTAATCTGCATTCCGCAACCTACTGTGCGGGATGGAAACAGGATTCCCAAAAATGGAACAAAATACCAAAAAATTAACTTTTCTGTTAAAAAAGACAAAACAGATCTTACATCTCTTTGCCTGGGTTGTGGGTTTACATTCATTGACTACACGGGGTCGGTGTCATGTCCTGTCATGTGGTGTGGTGTGGGTGGCGCTAGTGAACACATTTTGGAGGGATGATTGAAAATGGCTCCAGCTATTTACTTGGAAGTTGGTTTTCTCATCGCTAGCTAACAGCTATCGAGCTAACTCCAGTAGAAGTAAAACTTGGCTTGCTGACGAGGTAAGAGGGGAAAAAACAGAGTTAAATTAAAAACTATTTTCGGAGCTACGCATTTACTCGTAGGGGTTAGAAACGAGTTTAGTGTATTAAACAAAGTAATGCCAAGTGGCTTGCTAGTGACTGTGTCAATCTCATTTCAGGTCGCTGAAACCTAAGAGAAAGATGCAGAGGGCTGTGTCGAGCTATGCCTTTGCGCCGTCTGTCAAAGTGAAACTGCTCAATGCTGGGTTTCTTTCTGCTGCAGACCTGTGTGACTTGCGACCTCTCCAACTCAGCAAAGGTAGGCAACCAGTTGATGTTGTCATTACAGTAGTAGGTTATAATACAGTTACAGGACATATTGTTTTTAGTGTTATTGTAAATATGTGGTACCTGCTAACTTTATTTTACAATGCCTCTCACGGTCCATTATATTGCTACCCTTCAAGCTTGTCTATCTTGTCCTCTTCAGCAAACTCTCCATCCCTGTTGTTGTAGAGGCTGGCATCTCCCAGGAGGAGGCAGTAGAGGTGCTGCAGGCTGTGAGGTGTGAGCCTGGCCAGGAGAGAGCAGCAGCAGGCAGGCTAACTGCCCTGGAGCTTCTGGAGAGAGAGCAGGAGCTGGGCACCATAGTCACTTTCTGCTCAGCACTGGACACGGCTTTGGGAGGGGGTATGCCAGTGGGAAAGACCACTGAGGTCTGCGGGGCGCCTGGGGTGGGGAAGACCCAGCTCTGGTAAGCACTGGTACCTCTGTGTGGAAGAGTTACTCACCTGTTTGATATAATGTAGGAATAGCACAATAACAACTTTCTGTGTCCCTCAGTATCCAGTTGGCAGTAGATGTGCAGATCCCTGTGTGTTTTGGGGGGTTGGGAGGCAAATCTCTGTACATAGACACAGAGGGCAGCTTCCTGGTCCAGAGGGCTGTGGACCTAGCCCAGGCAGCTGTGGAGCACTGTGGGCTTCTAGCAGAGGATTCAGGTAACTAAGTAGGACAGAACAAAAGCAATGAGACTGAACGTTTATCACCCATCATATAGGATTACTTATAACTGATTTGTGAAACCTCTATTTAGTGCTTATAAAGACTTCAAAATATTGAATGCATTTGTTACATCGGTATCGCTACGTTGTCATACACATGTAATACATGTATAGTAGGCTATGAAAAAAATGGTTTACTGATGAGATGGAATTTTATAAATGCTCACAAATTGTGATCAACAGTACTGGTGCATGCAGTCAATCACTGGTTGGCCGTTTCTTCACACCTTTTAATCGCTACGCTATGTGTGAGCCATGACAAAATGAACAACACTAGAGAAAAAAGGGTTCTATCTTAGATTCAAGCCTATTGGAGACATTTTGTAGTTGACTGTCTCTGCTGTGTTCTATCTTTTTTCTTTCTCCAGAACAGCAGGAAGCCTTGAAGGGGTTCACTGTGGAAACAATCCTCTCCAACCTATTTCTTGTCCGTTGCCATGACTACGTGGAGCTGTTGGCGGAGACATACCTCCTGGCTGACTTCCTGGCTCAGCACACTGAGGTACCAATCCCGTCACTGATCCCAAAACAGCCAACCAATCAAATCCAAAGGGGATATTTCTACAACCTCCATTTTGGGTTGGGCTCTGTTCCATTTCAAGAAATGAGTCAAAGGAATTCCTTAACTGAAATGCTCATAGAAAATGACGGATAGATTTGTGGATTGGCTGGAGCAAAATACAATAGCTAACAAAAAATGAGGAACCTCAAAGACAGCAGCAATAAAACACTTAGCAGAAACCATGTTCCAATGTAAATCTGCAACTCATTTGCTTGTGGCTTTTGGATGGTAACTTGGGCGCCTTTGTTAATCTAATCCAGGTCCGGCTGGTGGTGATTGACAGCATTGCCTTCCCGTTTCGCCATGACTTTGATGACCTCTCCCAGAGGACCCGCCTCCTGAACGGCCTCGCCCAGCAGCTCATCCATATAGCCACCAATCACAACGTTGCGGTATGACCTGTGACCCTTGTCCACTTAGCCTAGTGTCAAAGACCCCACATGTTGCCTCACCAATAAGGTTGCAAAGTTCCGGGAACTTTTCAATAAAGTCCCTGGTTTTTCTCCAACCGGGATTTCGGGAAAACCAGGAAATGTATTGAAAGATCCCGGAATTTTGCATCCCTACTCACCAACGTACATTCATTTCTTATCAATCCTCTGTTGTCTTAACCCTTCTTCTTTTTATCTGATAATAATTATTTTCATGACCTAATAAAAACACATAGAAAAGAGAAACAACAACCATAAAGAGTCCAGCAATAACCACATCCTCCCTTCCTTTTATAGAGCCTATCTACCTGCTCCCTCTTGCAAACTACTATAATGTATAGTAAAGAGCGGTAACTCTGAGCCATCCTTCCAAGCCCAACAGAAACCAGGCTCGCCAGACTTGTGTTGTCTCTGTCCTTACTCTATTTACAACCGTCCATGTCTGGTCCCAATCCAACCATGCATCTAGACTAAGCGCACTCATTCCAAGAGATAAAATGGCTCCTATAGGTGCAATGTTGATTTAAGCGGCCAGGTAGATTGGGGTCTAAATGGGACGTCCGCTCTGTACCAGGACAGTTTTTAATCAGCAAAATAGTTATCTTAAGGTACCTGGCGCAAATTCACTTTGTTCTAGTAATTTGTTGCTTAGTTGCACTCAGGGACCACTTGGAGGACACACAGAACAACCTGTTCCAATTTGATCCCCACAGGGGCTTGTTTAATGTTCCTTATCAAAATTGGCAACTTGATATTAATTACTTCTTTAAACAAGGGATAAATGGGTGGATAAGATGGTGTTGATTCCAAAATAGTATTGTTCACAAACCGCATTCAACATAACATTCTTCCCGGGGGAAAGCTTTGTTTTGAAAAAGTTTGGTTACTAGCTAGCTACCTTTTTTGAATTTGGATCCTGCGACGCGGTTGGCATCAGTTGCTGGGACCGCTACGATCTGTCCAGTGATCCTGCTGACCAAGGCCGGGTCTGAGGAGCTGCTTGGCGTAGCAGCTAGCCTAGCTGCTAGCTAGCTGCCTATCAAGCTAGCAGGGTTTTCTTGAGGGCTGGGACTGCGGATTGTCCCGGACTTGTGGCTGTCTAGATCCCTGCTGTTTGTTGTTTCCAACTTACAGGATTCCCAAAAATGGAACAAAATACCAAAAAATTAACTTTTCTGTTAAAAAAGACAAAACAGATCTTACATCTCTTTGCCTGGGTTGTGGGTTTACATTCATTGACTACACGGGGTCGGTGTCATGTCCTGTCATGTGGTGTGGTGTGGGTGGCGCTAGTGAACACATTTTGGAGGGATGATTGAAAATGGCTCCAGCTATTTACTTGGAAGTTGGTTTTCTCATCGCTAGCTAACAGCTATCGAGCTAACTCCAGTAGAAGTAAAACTTGGCTTGCTGACGAGGTAAGAGGGGAAAAAACAGAGTTAAATTAAAAACTATTTTCGGAGCTACGCATTTACTCGTAGGGGTTAGAAACGAGTTTAGTGTATTAAACAAAGTAATGCCAAGTGGCTTGCTAGTGACTGTGTCAATCTCATTTCAGGTCGCTGAAACCTAAGAGAAAGATGCAGAGGGCTGTGTCGAGCTATGCCTTTGCGCCGTCTGTCAAAGTGAAACTGCTCAATGCTGGGTTTCTTTCTGCTGCAGACCTGTGTGACTTGCGACCTCTCCAACTCAGCAAAGGTAGGCAACCAGTTGATGTTGTCATTACAGTAGTAGGTTATAATACAGTTACAGGACATATTGTTTTTAGTGTTATTGTAAATATGTGGTACCTGCTAACTTTATTTTACAATGCCTCTCACGGTCCATTATATTGCTACCCTTCAAGCTTGTCTATCTTGTCCTCTTCAGCAAACTCTCCATCCCTGTTGTTGTAGAGGCTGGCATCTCCCAGGAGGAGGCAGTAGAGGTGCTGCAGGCTGTGAGGTGTGAGCCTGGCCAGGAGAGAGCAGCAGCAGGCAGGCTAACTGCCCTGGAGCTTCTGGAGAGAGAGCAGGAGCTGGGCACCATAGTCACTTTCTGCTCAGCACTGGACACGGCTTTGGGAGGGGGTATGCCAGTGGGAAAGACCACTGAGGTCTGCGGGGCGCCTGGGGTGGGGAAGACCCAGCTCTGGTAAGCACTGGTACCTCTGTGTGGAAGAGTTACTCACCTGTTTGATATAATGTAGGAATAGCACAATAACAACTTTCTGTGTCCCTCAGTATCCAGTTGGCAGTAGATGTGCAGATCCCTGTGTGTTTTGGGGGGTTGGGAGGCAAATCTCTGTACATAGACACAGAGGGCAGCTTCCTGGTCCAGAGGGCTGTGGACCTAGCCCAGGCAGCTGTGGAGCACTGTGGGCTTCTAGCAGAGGATTCAGGTAACTAAGTAGGACAGAACAAAAGCAATGAGACTGAACGTTTATCACCCATCATATAGGATTACTTATAACTGATTTGTGAAACCTCTATTTAGTGCTTATAAAGACTTCAAAATATTGAATGCATTTGTTACATCGGTATCGCTACGTTGTCATACACATGTAATACATGTATAGTAGGCTATGAAAAAAATGGTTTACTGATGAGATGGAATTTTATAAATGCTCACAAATTGTGATCAACAGTACTGGTGCATGCAGTCAATCACTGGTTGGCCGTTTCTTCACACCTTTTAATCGCTACGCTATGTGTGAGCCATGACAAAATGAACAACACTAGAGAAAAAAGGGTTCTATCTTAGATTCAAGCCTATTGGAGACATTTTGTAGTTGACTGTCTCTGCTGTGTTCTATCTTTTTTCTTTCTCCAGAACAGCAGGAAGCCTTGAAGGGGTTCACTGTGGAAACAATCCTCTCCAACCTATTTCTTGTCCGTTGCCATGACTACGTGGAGCTGTTGGCGGAGACATACCTCCTGGCTGACTTCCTGGCTCAGCACACTGAGGTACCAATCCCGTCACTGATCCCAAAACAGCCAACCAATCAAATCCAAAGGGGATATTTCTACAACCTCCATTTTGGGTTGGGCTCTGTTCCATTTCAAGAAATGAGTCAAAGGAATTCCTTAACTGAAATGCTCATAGAAAATGACGGATAGATTTGTGGATTGGCTGGAGCAAAATACAATAGCTAACAAAAAATGAGGAACCTCAAAGACAGCAGCAATAAAACACTTAGCAGAAACCATGTTCCAATGTAAATCTGCAACTCATTTGCTTGTGGCTTTTGGATGGTAACTTGGGCGCCTTTGTTAATCTAATCCAGGTCCGGCTGGTGGTGATTGACAGCATTGCCTTCCCGTTTCGCCATGACTTTGATGACCTCTCCCAGAGGACCCGCCTCCTGAACGGCCTCGCCCAGCAGCTCATCCAGATAGCCACCAATCACAACGTTGCGGTATGACCTGTGACCCTTGTCCACTTAGCCTAGTGTCAAAGACCCCACATGTTGCCTCACCAATAAGGTTGCAAAGTTCCGGGAACTTTTCAATAAAGTCCCTGGTTTTTCTCCAACCGGGATTTCGGGAAAACCAGGAAATGTATTGAAAGATCCCGGAATTTTGCATCCCTACTCACCAACGTACATTCATTTCTTATCAATCCTCTGTTGTCTTAACCCTTCTTCTTTTTATCTGATAATAATTATTTTCATGACCTAATAAAAACACATAGAAAAGAGAAACAACAACCATAAAGAGTCCAGCGATAACCACATCCTCCCTTCCTTTTATAGAGCCTATCTACCTGCTCCCTCTTGCAAACTACTATAATGTATAGTAAAGAGCGGTAACTCTGAGCCATCCTTCCAAGCCCAACAGAAACCAGGCTCGCCAGACTTGTGTTGTCTCTGTCCTTACTCTATTTACAACCGTCCATGTCTGGTCCCAATCCAACCATGCATCTAGACTAAGCGCACTCATTCCAAGAGATAAAATGGCTCCTATAGGTGCAATGTTGATTTAAGCGGCCAGGTAGATTGGGGTCTAAATGGGACGTCCGCTCTGTACCAGGACAGTTTTTAATCAGCAAAATAGTTATCTTAAGGTACCTGGCGCAAATTCACTTTGTTCTAGTAATTTGTTGCTTAGTTGCACTCAGGGACCACTTGGAGGACACACAGAACAACCTGTTCCAATTTGATCCCCACAGGGGCTTGTTTAATGTTCCTTATCAAAATTGGCAACTTGATATTAATTACTTCTTTAAACAAGGGATAAATGGGTGGATAAGATGGTGTTGATTCCAAAATAGTATTGTTCACAAACCGCATTCAACATAACATTCTTCCCGGGGGAAAGCTTTGTTTTGAAAAAGTTTGGTTACTAGCTAGCTACCTTTTTGAATTTGGATCCTGCGACGCGGTTGGCATCAGTTGCTGGGACCGCTACGATCTGTCCAGTGATCCTGCTGACCAAGGCCGGGTCTGAGGAGCTGCTTGGCGTAGCAGCTAGCCTAGCTGCTAGCTAGCTGCCTATCAAGCTAGCAGGGTTTTCTTGAGGGCTGGGACTGCGGATTGTCCCGGACTTGTGGCTGTCTAGATCCCTGCTGTTTGTTGTTTCCAACTTTCCCTGTGACCTGCCCTGTCTGGAACTGCGAGGAATAACTGCGTAACCTACTTTGCTACCATGACTTAATTTTCAACATGTCCCTGACTGAGTCTGTAATACCAACATGTTTCAAGCAGACCACCATAGTCCCCGTGCCCAAGGACTCTAAGATAACCTGCCTAAATGACTACCGACCCGTAGCACTGACGTCTGTAGCCATGAAGTGCTTTGAAAGGCTGGTCATGGCTCACATCAACAGCATTATCCCAGAAACCCTAGACCCACTCCAATTTGCATACCGCCCCAACAGATCCACAGATGATGCAATCTCTATTGCACTCCACACTGCCCTTTCCCACCTGGACAAGAGGAACACCTACGTGAGAATGCTATTTTTTATTTTTTTATTTCACCTTTATTTAACCAGGTAAGCCAGTTGAGAACAGGTTCTCATTTACAACTGCGACCTGGCCAAGATAAAGCAAAGTAGTGCAATAAAAACAACACAGAGTTACATATAGGGTAAAAAAAACATAAAGTCAGAAATACAACAGAAAATATATATACAGTGTGTGCAAATGTAGCAAGTTATGGAGGTAAGGCAATAAATAGGCTATAGTGCAGAATAATTACAATAGTATTAACACTGGAATGCTAGATGTGCAAGAGATGATGTGCAAATAGAGATACTGGGGTGCAAAAGAGCAAAATAAATAACAATATAGGGATGAGGTAGTTGGGTGGGCTAATTTCAGATGGGCTGTGTACAGGTGCAGTGATCGGTAAGGTGCTCTGACAACTGATGCTTAAAGTTATTGAGGGAGATAAGAGTCTCCAGCTTCAGAGATTTTTGCAATTCGTTCCAGTCATTGGCAGCAGAGAACTGGAAGGAATGGCGGCCAAAGGAGGTGTTGGCTTTGGGAATGACCAGTGAGATATACCTGCTGGAGCGCAGACTACGGGTGGGTGCTGCTATGGTGACCAATGAGCTAAGATAAGGCGGGGATTTGCCTAGCAGTGATTTATAGATGGCCTGGAGCCAGTGGGTTTGACGACGAACATGTAGTGAGGACCAGCCAACAAGAGCGTACAGGTCACAGTGGTGGGTAGTGTATGGGGCTTTGGAGACAAAACGGATGGCACTGTGATAGACTACATCCAATTTGCTGAGTAGAGTGTTGGAGGCTATTTTGTAAATGACATCGCCGAAGTCAAGGATCGGTAGGATAGTCAGTTTTACGAGGGCATGTTTGGCAGCATGAGTGAAGGAGGCTTTGTTGCGAAATAGGAAGCCGATTCTAGATTTAACTTTGGATTGGAGATTCTTTATGTGAGTCTGGAAGTTGAGTTTACAGTCTAACCAGACACCTAGATATTTGTAGTTGTCCACATACTCTAGGTCAGACCCGTCAAGAGTGGTGATTCTAGTCGGGTGGGCGGGTGCTAGCAGCGTTCGATTGAAAAGCATGCATTTAGTTTTACTAGTGTTTAAGAGCAGTTGAAGGCTACTGAAGGATTGTTGTATGGCATTGAAGCTCGTTTGGAGGTTTGTTAACACAGTGTCCAATGAAGGGCCAGATGTATACAAAATGGTGTCGTCTGCGTAGAGGTGGATCTGAGAGTCACCAGCAGCAAGAGCGACATCATTGATATACACGGAGAAAAGTGTCGGCCCAAGAATTGAACCCTGTGGCACCCCCATAGAGACTGCCATAGGTCCAGACAACAGGCCCTTCGATTTGACACACTGAACTCTATCTGAGAAGTAGTTGGTGAACCAGGCGAGGCAGTCATTTGAGAAACCAAGGCTATTTAGTCTGCCAATAAGAATGCGGTGGTTGACAGAGTCGAAAGCCTTGGCCAGGTCGATGAAGACGGCTGCACAGTACTGTCTATTATCAATCGTGGTTATAATATCGTTTAGGACCTTGAGCGTGGCTGAAGTGCACCCGTGACCAGCTCGGAAACCGGATTGCATAGCGGAGAAGGTACGGTGGTATTCGAAATGGTCGATGATCTGTTTGTTAACTTGGCTTTCGAATACTTTCGAAAGGCAGGGCAGGATGGATATAGGTCTGTAGCAGTTTGGATCTAGAGTGTCACCCCCTTTGAAGAGGGGGATGACCGCGGCAGCTTTCCAATCTCTGGGGATCTCAGACGTTATGAAAGAGAGGTTGAACAGACTAGTAATAGGGGTTGCGACAATTTCGGCGGCTAGTTTTAGAAAGAAAGGGTCCAGATTGTCTAGCCCAGCTGATTTGTAGGGGTCCAGATTTTGCAGCGCTTTCAAAACATCAGCTGTCTGAATTTGTGTGAAGGAGAAGCGGGGGGGGCATGGGCAAGTTGCAGCAGAGGGTGCAGAGTTGGTGGCCGGGTTAGTGGTAGCCAGATGGAAAGCATGGCCAGCTGTAGCAAAATGCTTGTTGAAATTCTCGATTATTGTAGATTTATCGGTGGTGATAGTGTTTCCTTGCCTCAGTGCAGTGGGCAGCTGGGAGGAAGTGCTCTTATTCTCCATGGACTTTACAGTGTCCCAAAACTTTTTGGAGTTAGTGCTACAGGATGCAAATTTCTGTTTGAAAAAGTTAGCCTTTGCTTTCCTGACTGCTTGTGTATATTGGTTCCTAACTTCCCTGAAAAGTTGCATATCGCGGGGGCTATTTGATGCTAATGCTGTACGCCACAGGATGTTTTTGTGCTGGTCAAGGGCAGTCAAGTCTGAGGAGAACCAGGGGCTATATCGGTTCTTAGTTCTGTATTTTTTTGAATGGGGCATGTTTATTTAAGATTGAGAGGAAATTACTTTTAAGGAACAACCAGGCATCCTCTACTGACGGAATGAGATCTATATCCATCCAGGATACCTGGGCCAGGTCAATTAGGAAGGCCTCCTCGCTAAAGTGTTTTAGGGAGCGTTTGACAGTGATGAGGGGTGGTCGTTTGACCGCGGACCCGTTACGGACGCAGGCAATAAGGCAGTGATCGCTGAGATCCTGGTTGAAGACAGCTGAGGTGTATTTAGAGGGTATGTTAGTCAGGATGATATCTATGAGGGTACCCATGTTTAAGGATTTAGGGTTGTACCTGGTAGGTTCGTTGATAATTTGCGTGAGGTTGAGGGCATCTAGCTTGGATTGTAGGATGGCTGGGGTATTAAGCATATCCCAATTTAGGTCACCAAGCAGTACAAACTCAGAGGATAAATGGGGGGCGATCAATTCACATATGGTGTCCAGGGCACAGCTGGGGGCTGAGGGGGGTCTGTAGCAAGCGGCAACAGTGAGAGACTTATTTCTCAATTTCTCAACTTATTTCTCAATATTCATTGACTACAGCTCAGCATTCAACACCATAGTGCCCTCTAAGCTCATCACTAAGCTAAGGATCCTGGGACTAAACACCTCCCTCTGCAACTGGATCCTGGACTTCCTGACGGGCCGCCCCCAGGTGGTAAGGGTAGGTAACAACACATCTGCCACACTGATCCTCAACACGGGGGACCCTCAGGGGTGCGTGCTCAGTCCCCTCCTGTACTCTCTGGTCACCCATGACTGCATGGCCAGGCACGACTCCAACACCATCATTAAGTTTGCCGACGACACAACAGTGGTAGGCCTGATCACCGACAACGATGAGACAGCCTATAGGGAGGAGGTCAGAGACCTGGCCGTGTGGTGCCAGGACAACAACCTCTCCCTCAACGTGACCAAGACAAAGGAGATGATTGTGGACTACAGGAAAAAAAAGAGGACTGAGCACGCCCCCATTCTTCTCATCGACGGGGCTGTAGTGGAACCGGTTGAGAGCTTCAAGTTCCTTGGTGTCCACATCACCAACGAACTATCATGGTCCAAACACACCAAGACAGTCGTGAAGAGGGCACGACAAAGCCTATTCCCCCTCAGGAGACTGAAAAGATTTGGCATGGGTCCTCAGATCCTCAAAAAATTCTACAGCTGCACCATCGAGAGCATCCTGACTGGTTGCTTCACCGCCTGGTATGGCAACTGCTTGGCCTCCGACCGCAAGGCACTACAGAGGGTAGTGCGTACGGCCCAGTACATCACTGGGGCCAAGCTTCCTGCCATCCAGGACCTCTATACCAGGTGGTGTCAGAGGAAGGCCCTCAAAATTGTAAAAGACTCCAGCCACCCTAGTCATAGACTGTTCTCTCTGCTACCGCATGGCAAGCGGTACCGGAGTGCCAAGTCTAGGTCCAAAAGACTTCTCAACAGCTTCTACCCCCAAGCCATAAGACTCCTGAACAGCTAATCATGGCTACCCGGACTATTTGCACTGCCCCCCCACCCCATCCTTTTTACGCTGCTGCTACTCTGTTAATTATTTATGCATAGTCACTTTAACTCTACCCACATGTACATATTACCTCAACTAGCCGGTGCCCCCGCACATTGACTCTGCAAAGGTACCCCCCTGTGTATATATAGCCTCCCTACTGTTATTTTATTTTACTTCTGCTCTTTTTTTTCTCAACACTTTTTTTGTTGTTTTATTTTTACTTTTTTGTTAAAAATAAATGCACTGTTGGTTAAGGGCTGTAAGTAAGCATTTCACTGTGATGTCTGCACCTGTTGTATTCGGCGCATGTGACCAATAAAATTTGATTTGATTTGACAAAGACCAAAGCCGGCGGGAGTACCACTGAGGACAGTGGTGCTATCACAGGTGAAGGATCTTTTAAACAAACAAAAATAGTTCTACAAGCAGTTGTTACAACAAGTGTTGTGTCCAAATACTGGTGGAGTCGACTAATAAAATAATGGATGACCTGACCAGAGGTCCAGGACCTGAAGAACAGTTTTGCATTTCTCCCAGGGTCAGCTCGTTGAGTTTAAACAGACAAAGGCAAGATGACAGCAATCTGTAAGTAATTGTGAGAGGACATCAGTTCTGTATGTGTATCGACGATAACAATGATGGAGAAATCTGATTATCTCGAGGGACAACCAAGGCTGAACAACATGGTTGTGGATAAAATTGTAGAATCTCCACATGAGACCTGGATGGAGTCTTGAGGACAAAGTGAGGGAAATTATATTGGGGAAACTGAAGATGGACCACAGGAAGATTGAGGTGGAGCGCGCCCACAGGACTGGAAAACCCACCACCGGCCCAGGTGACAGGCCGATAGTGGTCAAGTTCCTGAGGTTCAAGGACGAGGTAGCTGTTCTGGAAAGAGCCAAGAAATTGAGAGGAATGTACAGTACATCTTCCTCAATGAGGACTATCCTGAAGCTGTGTGCGCCAGAAGAGGAAAGAATTTATCCCAGCCATGAAAGCTGCCAGTACGCGTGGGGACATTGACTGACTAGTTTTCATAAAGCTGTCCACTCGAGGAAGCTTCTCACTGTAACCAGTGCCTGTAATTTGGTTCAGGTTATTAATAACCTACTAGGGTGTTTACAAACACTACAGGAACAAGATCATCCACATGTATTAATCACATTTCTACATACTGTATAACTTTGTTCTAAAGCTGTATCCGTACCCATTGAATGCAGTGATTACAATATAGTGGCTATATCCAGGAAAGACAAAGCTCCAAAAGCTGGGCCTAAAATAGTGTAGAGATATTGCTGTGACTCTTATGTGGATGATGTTAAAAATATTTGTTGGTCTGATGTGATTTAATAAGGAGCATCCAGACGCTGCACTTGATGAATTTATGAAATTACTTCTTCCAATTATTGATAAACATGCACCTGTTAAGAAACTGACTGTTAGAACTATTAAGGCTCCATTTGATTGATGAGGAATTGGAAAAACTGCATGGTTGAAAGAGATGGGACAAAAGGAGTGGCTAATAAGTCTGGCTGCACATCTGACTGGCTGACCTACTGCAAATTGAGCATTGTATTTGGTACAAGTAATTCCAAGTTCTAGACCTCAGCTGAATCTGGTAATGAATGGTGTGGCTGTTGAACAAGTAGAGGAGACTAAATTACTTGGTGTTACCATAGATTGTAAACTGTCATGGTCAGAAGATGGATGAGAGGTCTGTCTGGGGAGAAAGCACTCTGCTTTTTTGATACCAAACCACAGTCCTGCAGGCTCTAGTTATCTTGATTATTGTCCAGTCATTTGGTCAAGTGCTGCAAAGAAATACCTTGTTAAGCTGCAGCTGGCCCAGAACAGAGCCACACGTCTTTTTCTTCATTGTAGTCAGAGGGCTAATAGGAAATGCATGCCAGTCTCTCTTTGTTAAGAGTTGAAGAAAGACTGACTGCTTCACTTCTTGTTTTTATAAGAAACATTTAATGTGTTTGTAATTCCAAATTTGTTTTCATATTCCGCTTACACACACACACACACTTACCCCACCAGACATGCCACCAGGGTTCTTTTCACAATCCCCAGGTCCAGAACAAATTCAAGTAAACTTACAGTATTATACAGAGCCATGAGTGCATGGAACTCCCATCGTTTTATATAGCGCAAGTGAACAGCAAACCTGGTTTCAAAAAACAAATAAAGCAACACCTCACGGCACAACGCCTCTCCCCAATGTGACCTACTTGTTGTGTGTATGTACAGTACGTGTAATGTTTTTAAATGTATGTCAATTGTAAAGTCTGTAGTCTTTTTCGTTGTGTCGGACCCCAGTAAGACTAGCTGTCGCCATTGTCGTCGGCTAATGGGGATCCAAAAAATAAATAAACAATATTGGTGGAGGCAATAAATTCAAGCAATTTGTGAAAAGCGATAGGTACACTCCAACTTGGAATAATATAACTCTTGAAACTTCCATTTCCTTCGTGTTTAGGTCATTCTTACCAATCAGATGACTACAAAGGTTTGGAGTGGCCAATCGAAGCTTGTTCCTGCCTTAGGTGAGAAGGACTGTTGTGATGCACTGACTGTAGATGCTACAAATGATAATACCTACCTCCCCTTAAACTGTACATGAAAGTTAACAGGAACGGTTAGGGCCAAGTTTTACAGTACATTTTGCAATTCAGCCAGTCATATACCTCTCCCAATTTTTAAACCAACTAATTTACCATACTGTACCATTAGCTTTAGCCTGTCTGCCAATGGCTCATAAATATTGATTAGTTTGTGTGGCTGTGCTAAGTAACTGTCCTTAAATGTGAGCACATTGATGATGCATGGGGTTAGGTTACTGTGATTGTAGACGTGGTTAACATGGCTCTGTGTGGGTGTCTGTGATCTTGTAAATCTGCAGGTGAGAGTTGGGGTCACGCTGCTACACAGAGACTCATCCTACACTGGGAGGGCACACACAGGTACTTTACTAACACCCCTTTACATGGATGGTCTCTGGAAGGAAGCCTACATGCTACCACAATGATGTGACCTTACCAGGGTTTCTGTTAGGAAAATTTGGCACCGGACAACATGACCGGCAAGATTTACATTTACCTAACATTTGAGAAATTACTGGACATCCATATGCATTGGGTGCGTAACGCATTAGGGCGTCCACCCACGGTGCTCAAAATCACATGTATATTATTGTAATTCATCTTAACAGAATATAAATTAGCCTGTAAAGTTGTAATAAAGTAGAACGATGTTCTTATACCTGCATGACGGGTTTTATTGAAAAGCAAAACATTGCCCGTTGCGTCTTCATCCCTGCTATAAATCATAACTGAATATCATGAATTTTTTTAAAACATTTAGCCTAGAATAACTAGTCACCTACACAGTAATAACACAACTTCAAAATATAATATTTGTGTAAATACAATCCCCCGACCTCAACCCAATTGAGATGGTTTGGGATGAGTCGGACGGCAGAGTGAAGGAAAAGCGCCCAACAAGTGCTCAGCATATGTGGGAACTCCTTCAAGACTGTTGGAAAAGCATTCCAGGTGAAGCTGGTTGATAGAATACCAAGAGTGTGCAAAGCTGTCATCAAGGCAAAGGGTAGCTATTTGAAGAATCTCAAAATATATTTTAATTTGTTTAACACTTCTTTTTGGTTACTACATGATTCCATGTGTTATTTCATAGTTTTGATGTCTTTATTACTATTCTACTATGTAAAAATAAAACCTGGAATGAGTGTGTACAAACTTTTGACTGGTACTGTGTGTGTGTGTGTGTGTGTATATATAGATGGTGCCTTCGCAAAGTATTCAGACCCCTTGACCTTTCTACATTTTGTTATGTTACAGCCTTATTTTAAAATGGATTAAAAAAATAATCCTCATCATTCTACACACAATACCCCATAATGACAAAGCGAAAACAGGTTTTTAGATTTTTTTTCAAATGTATTAAAAATAAAGAAACATACCTTATTTACATAAATATTCAGACCCTTCGCTATGAGACTCGATTGAGCTCAGGTGCATCCTGTTTCCATTGATCATCCATGAGATGTCTCTACAACTTGATTGGAGTCCACCTGTGGTAAATTCAATTGATTGGACATGATTTGGAAAGGCACACACTTGTCACAGTTGCCAGTGCATGTCAGAGCAAAAACCAGGCCATGTGGTCGAAGGAATTGTCCGTAGAGCTCCGAGATAGGATTGTGTCGAGGCACCGTTCTGGGGAAGGGTACCAAATAATGTCTGCAGCATTGAAGGTCCCCAAGAACACAGTTGCTCATCGTTCTTAAATGGAAGAAGTTTGGAACAACCAAGACTCTTCCTGGAGCTGGCTGCCATGCCAAACTGAGCAATCGGGGGAGAAGGGCCTTGGTCAGGGAGCTGACCAAGAACCCGATGGTCACTCTGACAGAGCTCTAGAGTTCCTCTGTGGAGATGGAAGAACCTTCCAGAAGGACAACTATCTCTGCAGCGCTCCACCAATCAGGCCTTTATGGTTGAGTGGCCAGACGGAAGCCACTCCTCAGTAAAAGGCACATGACAGCCCGCTTGGAGTTTGCCAAAAGGCACCTAAAGGACTCTGACCATGAGAAACACGATTCTCTGGTCTGATGAAACCAAGATTGAACTCTTTGGCCTGAATGCCAAGCGTCACATCTGGAGGAAACCTGGCACCATCCCTACGGTGAAGCGTGGTGGCAGAATCATCATGCTGTGGGGATGTTTTTCAGCGGCAGGGACTGGGAGACTAGTCAGGATCGAGGCAAAGATGAACGAAGCAAAGTACAAAGAGATCCTTGATGAAAACATGCTCCAGGGCCTCAGACTGGGGCGACGGTTCACCTTCCAACAGGACAACGACCCTAAGCACACAGCCAAGACAACGCAGGAGTGGCTTCGGGACAAGTCTCTGAGTGGCCCAGCCAGAGCCTGGATTTGAACCCGATCTAACATCTCTGAAGAGACCTGAAAATAGCTGTGCAGCAACGCTCCCCATCCAACCTGACAGAGCTTGAGAGGATCTGCAGAGAAGAATGGGAGAAACTCCCCAAATACAGGTGTGCCAAGCTTGTAGCGTCATACGCAAGAAGACTCGAGGCTGTAATCGCTGCCAAAGGTGCTTCAACAAAGTACTGATTTTAAAGGGTCTGAATACCTTTTTTTTTTAAACTGTTTTTGCTTAGTCATTATGGGATATTGTAGAGGGGGGGATTTAAAAATATATATTTTAGAATAAGGTTGTAAAGTGGAAAAAGTAAAGGGGTCTGAATACTTTCCAAATGCTGTGTTTTGTGTATTTAATTAATTACGTGGCTTATTGATAACTGTTTCCTACTATAGGCAGTTGGCTGCCTAGTGATTGCAACACTAACTCTGATGTGAATAGTTGGCAGCTGTTTTCATTTCCAAGTGCTACTGAATAAGCTCAACTGAATTGCACCAATTGCGCATGATACACATCATTACTCTATTCTAGTCTATCAATCCATTCCAAGTCTTTATACTATACATGACACGGGCAGCATATGTTGATCTTTCCTATGACGGCAGCAGAACTGCTAGGACCTCACGAATACAATTTGCCTCTAATTTACTTGCGTTTGTGGCAGACCTTGGCCTGCTCAAAGTGAGCCGCTGCTTTTGGGAAATCAAAACTGTCCAACTCCTTGGCGCAGCTTGCGATGCGCAGTAGCCTCGTTACTTTGTCCTCAAGAGGCCCTCTTTACTCTGTTTTGGAGAAAAAATCCTCTCTATGGAAGCTGGGATAATCAACACAGTTTTTGCCAATGTTGCCCAGTCGGGGTATACTTAGCATCTTTTGCTTAAGTAAAATTATTTAAAATTAATTTTCAAGCAGCTTGAGGATTTATTAGCCTATTAAGTGTATATATGCCCTTGAAGTTGGAGCACATCGACTGGTACACTATATATACACTGCTCAAAAAAATAAAGGGAACACTTAAACAACACATCCTAGATCTGAATGAATGAAATAATCTTATTAAATACTTTTTTCTTTACATAGTTGAATGTGCTGACAACAAAATCACACAAAAATTATCAATGGAAATCAAATTTATCAACCCATGGAGGTCTGGATTTGGAGTCACCCTCAAAATTAAAGTGGAAACCCACACTACAGGCTGATCCAACTTTGATGTAATGTCCTTAAAACAAGTCAAAATGAGGCTCAGTAGTGTGTGTGGCCTCCACGTGCCTGTATGACCTCCCTACAACGCCTGGGCGTGCTCCTGATGAGGTGGCGGATGGTCTCCTGAGGGATCTCCTCCCAGACCTGGACTAAAGCATCCGCCAACTCCTGGACAGTCTGTGGTGCAACGTGGCGTTGGTGGATGGAGCGAGACATGATGTCCCAGATGTGCTCAATTGGACTCAGGTCTGGGGAATGGGCGGGCCAGTCCATAGCATCAATGCCTTCCTCTTGCAGGAACTGCTGACACACTCCAGCCACATGAGGTCTAGCATTGTCTTGCATTAGGAGGAACCCAGGGCCAACCGCACCAGCATATGGTCTCACAAGGGGTCTGAGGATCTCATCTCGGTACCTAATGGCAGTCAGGCTACCTTTGGCGAGCACATGGAGGGCTGTGCGGACCCCCAAAGAAATGCCACCCCACACCATGACTGACCCACCGCCAAACCGGTCATGCTGGAGGATGTTGCAGGCAGCAGAACGTTCTCCACGGCGTCTCCAGACTCTGTCACGTCTGTCACATGTGCTCAGTGTGAACCTGCTTTCATCTGTGAAGAGCACAGGGCGCTAGTGGCGAATTTGCCAATCTTGGTGTTCTCTGGCAAATGCCAAACGTCCTGCACGGTGTTGGGCTGTAAGCACAACCCCCACCTGTGGACGTCGGGCCCTCATACCACCCTCATGGAGTCTGTTTCTGACCGTTTGAGCAGACACATGCACATTTGTGGCCTGCTGGAGGTCATTTTGCAGGGCTCTGGCAGTGCTCCTCCTGCTCCTCCTTGCACAAAGGCGGAGGTAGCGGTCCTGCTGCTGGGTTGTTGCCCTCCTACGGCCTCCTCCACGTCTCCTGATGTACTGGCCTGTCTCCTGGTAGTGCCTCCATGCTCTGGACACTACGCTGACAGACACAGCAAACCTTCTTGCCACAGCTCGCATTGATGTGCCATCCTGGATGAGCTGCACTACCTGAGCCACTTGTGTGGGTTGTAGACTCCGTCTCATGCTACCACTAGAGTGAAAGCACCGCCAGCATTCAAAAGAGACCAAAACATCAGCCAGGAAGCATAGGAACTGAGAAGTGGTCTGTGGTCACCACCTGCAGAACCACTTCTTTATTGGGGGTGTCTTGCTAATTGCCTATAATTTCCACCTGTTGTCTATTCCATTTGCACAACAGCATGTGCAATTTATTGTCAATCAGTGTTGCTTCCTAAGTGGACAGTTTGATTTCACAGAAGTGTGATTGACTTGGAGTTACATTGTGTTGTTTAAGTGTTCCCTTTATTTTTTTGAGCAGTGTGTGTGTGTATATATATATATATATATATATATATATATATACACAAAAGTATGTGGACACTCATTCAAATTAGTGGATTCGGCTATTTCAGCCACACCCGTTGCTGACAGGTGTATAAAATCGAGCACACCGCCATACAATCTCTGTAGACAAATATTGGCAGTAGAATGGGCTTACTGAAGAGCTCTGTGACTTTCAATGTGGCACCATCATAGGATGCCACCTTTCCAACAAGTCAGTTCGTGATGAATCACGCTTCGCCTTCTGGCAGTCCAACGGACAAATCTGGGTTTGGCGGATGCCAGGAGAACACTAGAGTAAATCTTAACACTACAACATACAATGACATTCTAGACGATTCTGTGCTTCCAACTTTTTGGCAACTGTTTGGAGAAGGCCCTTTCCTGTTTCAGCATGACAATGGCCA